CAAGGCTTCCTCTCCTATCGTCTTTCTTCAGAATGAAAGGCCTCCCGTAGCATTTCTTTTCGTGTAGATCTGTTGATGAATTCTCTTAGCTTTCACGTCTCTCCAAAGGTCCTTGTTTCGCCTTCCTTCTTGAACGATCTTTTCCCTGCACAGAGACGGAGAGTTCTGGGTTGAAAGTTGTTTCCCGTTGTTGTTGTCGTTCGGCGCTTTGAAACGCCCTTCCCCTGCCTCCTGGGTTCCCTGGGGTCGATGAGAATTCAGGGAATATTCCTGTTAATTTCTCCTAGATGCACTGCTTTGTCTAACTCTGACTGCCTGTGAGATTTTCTCTTTCTACGCTGTTCAGTCGTTCGGCTACGCTGCACAGACATGTGGTTTTCCTTTGTATTTATCCTCCTTGGGGTTCACAGGACTTCTTGACTCTGTAAAGTATGTCTAGCCCCAAATTTTGAAAATGTCCGTCATTATTTCTTCAAGTAGTTTTTCCTCCCCGTTCTCTCTTTTCTCCTGGGATCCCAGATACACATGTGGTTGGACCTTTTCATATTGTTCTACAGCTCACTGAGGCTCTGTTCTTTCTTTTTTTGGAAAAACCTTTTTTCCTCACAGTTTCTCAGAACGGATCATTTCTGTTGCTCTATCTTCCCACAAGTGATATGAAGCCTCTGCATATTCATAACTATTAACAAACACCGATGTTAAGGGAAGGATAGAGTAAGAGGAGCCAAGAAAGGATTCAGTAAAGAGCTGCCAAGTTCCAAGAGCACGTGGCATCCCGGAGCCTGGGGCAGGGAGCACTTGATGCAGTGGGAGATCAGAGAGCCTCTGCAGAAACCTAGCCCAGCATGGTTCTCACCTGCACAAAACGGAAGCAGACTGGCTGATGGAAGCACAGAGGGAATGAGCTGAAGGACGGCGGGCGTCTCATGGGCGTTCCGGGAGGGCTGGAGAACCAGGCTTGGAGGCTTTGCAGAGAAGGACGAGGGTCTGAATCATGCCACAGTGCTGGGCTGGTGAAGGCACCCCTGTGGCTCCCTCCCACGACTGGGCACAGACACTGTGGTTTGCAACAACAATGTGGGATGCAGGTGCTGCCATGACAACCAGAGCTGCCACTGCTCCTTGGGAAGCAGATCTCACTGGAGTCTGTGTGGCTCCTGCTTCTTCCCAGTTCTGGACCCTGATTCAGTTGGCAGCAGGTGCATCTGATTGGCGGGGCAGGGTCATGTGCCCACACCCTAGCTGTGAGGAAAGCCGGGAGAGGGCAGACCTGGCATTTCTGCTCTTCTTGTGGGAAGTGGGTTCCACATTAGCTGAGGGCACTGCATGTGTATAGGTCCTGGGGCTGGAAGGAACATGGTGAGTATCAGTGTGGCTCCAGTGCGGCTGGAGCAGAGAGAGAGAGAGGGTGCTGTGCGCTGAGGCTGGAGAGAACAGACTGTGTAGTCCTCATCGGCCTCAGGAAGAGGCTGATCTTTACCTGAAAGAGTTGGAGACCCATGAAAAGTCTGAAGTCAGTGGTGCAGTGCACTCACGTGCGTGTGTGTGACATGATAAAACTATATTTTCAGGCGCTTTCTCTGGCTTCCCTGTGGAAGACTTATGGGTGGGGGGGGCAGAGTGGATGCAGAAAGACTGTGGAGGGGCATTGACTTGTCCTTCCAGAGATGATGGTGGTCTGAACCGTAGTAGCGGCAGTGTCGCGGAGCTGCTAGGGCAGATTTCACAGACCGAAAACACACGGAGAGCTAACCAAACACTAGGAGTGATCACATGGGGAAAGTGAGTGAGGGCCATGTCCCTGAGTTGTGCCCTTTGCCACAGGTGTATGGGGGTTCCATTCACTGCAGCTGAGGACTCGGGAAAAGCACTGGCCTGGGTAGAAACCTACGTCTGTTTTGGACATGTGCGTTGGAAACTCCAGGTGGGGATGGGACTCGGGCACAGACTCGGAGGAGAGGTCTAGGCTAGGGGCAGACATGGGGCATCATGGAAAGCTCCGGGTGGCCGGAGGATGAATCCACGTATAGATGTGCCTCACCAGGCCCACCCCCTCCCAAGTGTGGACAAGGTGCCAGGGGATGGGGCGAGCATGGCCCCTAGTGGGGGCGGGCATTGGGGAGCGAGGGGCAGCCCCACTGCAGGTCAGCCTCAGGCTGAGCAGCTGTCCTGAGCTGTGAGAAGGTGAGCTTTACCCCCACCGGGACACCAGGACAAGGCTGGATAGCTCTTTCAGGTCCCCACTATTGGTGATCTTCCTGGGTGCAGCCCCTGTCCCCTGAAGGAATACCTGGAGACAGGACTTTGCTGGCTGCCCTGTCGGCCATTCCACCCTTCTTCCTTGCTAAGGGAACCCCCTTTTTGTTCAAGTGTCTGTCCCTCCTCCACGCAGCTCAAGGCATGGTAACCCCCATGCCCAAATCCAGAGACAGATCTGATGGGGTCAAGCCCAGCTGTGCATGACGTTCCTAGAGCGACTGTTAGTGATCTGAGTGGCCCACGGCCGAAACCGCCCACTTGGGCGGAAGGGAAGGGTCCCTTTTCTGTCCAAGGAGGAGGGCTCCTCTTTCTCTGGGGCAAGACCGAGGAAGTGCACAGGAGAAGGCAGCCCAGTGCCAGAGCCAAGACTTAAGGATGGAAGGAGGCTGGGTCCTGGGTGCAGCCTGGGGCAGTGTGGCATGGGGTGGGGAGGGGGGATGACACCTAGGAGGGGAACAGTCAAGGGACATTTGTAGTCACACTGGGAGGCTCAGTGAAGAGACAGCGTGGCCACACTGGGAGGGACAGTGGTGGCCACATGGAGGAGGGAAAGCAGAGGGACAGTGGTAGCCCCCTCTGGAAAGTTCAGGGGCCAGAGCAGCTGCGGCAGCCGTCAGAGAAGCTGCCGCGCTGGCTGTGCTTCAGGCCCACGGACGCCAAGCTGGCCTGCTCTGAGGGGAGGGTCTTGCCCCCCCCCCCGGGCACCAAAGCCCAGCCTCTGGCCCCACCAGCCTCACCATGAGGGTCCCCATCAAGCCTCAGGAGCCCCAGGGTTATAAGGACTTGGCCCATGTGTGACATGATATCATCCATTACATGAGTCACGCAGTGCTCTGACCCGTACAGAGGGTCAAGGAGCAGCCCAGGTGACCTGGGGCACTGATTGCCACGTGCTTCCCCAGCGCCTGCGCGCCCCAGGGCCACCATGTCTCAGGGCTGCAGCTTGGACAGCCCTCCTCCACCCATCCACGCACTCCGCTTTTTCGGCGGGGGTGCAGAAATCGGAGATCCACGTGGAAACAGCTCATGCCGTCCATCCGTCCACAAACCAGCTCACCTCACACGCTCTCGGCCTGAGCTCTGTCTGTCATCCTCAATTAGTGTCTGGGGTTGGGAGGACATCAAAGACTGCATGTCCCCCAGACCCTGCGGCTGGCCCTGGGGGGAGGGGTGCACTTCCTGCAGGCTCCACCTGGCTCCTGCCCCCTCCTTAGGCCTGGCCTCCTCCCTCCCCCTGCTGGCTCGGACCCCTCCCCGCTGAGGTCCCCAGGATCTTCTGCAGAGTGGCCCGCGCTGGGCTTGCTGCCCTCGGGGCGCCATCTCTGCCTGCAGCAGGTGAGGCTGCCCTCAGAGAAGGTCCCGGGCCCCCTGGCCACAACAAGGGGAAGCGGATGGGAGGAGAGAGCGAGCCAGATGGCCCTGCACGAATCATTGTGGGAGCTGACTGGTGCCTCCATGCACTTTCATTATATTACTCTCTCTAGGCTGGGCACATGTTTGAAATTCTTCATCATGAAAAGTTGAAAAAATTCTGGAAGGGAAGTTTATCTCCTGATGGATACCATTGTGGGTTCATCCCTTTCTCTTCCTACGTCTATCGCTTCTGCCTGGGGCATTCTGATGCTCTCCAGACTAGCTGTAACCACGCTGCCACCACCCATATGGTCACCCCAAACCGTTGAAGACAATTGTGCACGGTCTCCCCACTCTCTTTTATGGCCCCATTGCAGCTGCCTGTTCCCAGCACACCCCATCCTCCCCTGCGGCGATGCCAGGCGGCACGCGGAGCCCCTCTGGGCCTGAGGCTCACTTCCTTCTTGTCCTGAAGGGTGGATGCCCATGCTCGCTAGGAATTGCCCAAGGCTAAAGGAGCTGCCTTACCCAAGGGTGTCCCCACCCACATCCAGTTACTACTAGCCGGTGTGGGGTGCAAAGGCCCAGCCCCTTCCTTCAGCTGGCTTGGGGAGGGTTTCAGCTCAGCCCCTTCCCTTGTGTGTGAGTCTTCTGGGGCTGCTGTGACAAATGACCACAAACCAGGGAACTTAAAACAACAGGAATTTCTCCTCTCATAGTGCTGGAGGCCAGAAGCCCAAAATTAGGGTGCCAGCAGGGCTGCGCTCCCTCCAAAGGCTCTAGGGGAGGACTCTTCCTTGCCTCTTCCAGTTTTAGGGGGCTCCAGGCATTCCTGGGCTTGGGGCTGCATCAGTCTTATCTCTGCCTCTATCTTCACGTGGCCTTCTCCTCTGTGTCTCCCTTCTGTCTTTTTGTTGTTGTTGTTGTTTGGTGAGGAAGATTGTTGCTGAGCTAACATCTGTGCCAATCTTTCTCTATTTTGTATGTGGGACGCCACCACAGCATGGCTTGATGGGTGATGTGTGGGTCCGCACCCAGGATCCAAACCTGCAAACCCTGAGGCTGCTGAAGTGGAGCATGTAAACTTAACCACTATGCCACTGGGCTGGCCCCTCTCTTCTCTCTCTTATAAGGACACTTGTCATTGGATTTAGGGCCCACCTGGATAACCCAGAATGATCTCATCTCAAGATCCTTAACTTCACCACATCTGCAAAGACACTTTTTCAAAAAAGGTCACATCCACAGGTTCCCGGAGTTAGGACGCGTGCGTATCTTTTGAGGGGACACCATTCGCCCCACTATACCTCGAGAGCCCAGGGCCAGGCCTGCCCAGCCAGCCCCCCAGTGAGAGGACAAGATTGGGCATCAGGGCTCACAGCCAAGGGCCACAGAGGACCTCCCTGCCTCTGTTCCAGGGACGGACCCCCAAAGCTGTGCTGCAGGGGGCCCCCGGGAGCCCTGCTCCCTGTGGTCTGAAGCACCCTGAGTGGGTGTCCCAGCTCTCCCCCCTAAGATGGGGGGACGACTGCAGTCCTGGAAGCCTTGGCCTGCTGAGGGCGTCTCCCTGCAGCCCAGGATCTCCTGGCCAGGGCCCGGGGCCGTTTGAGGCGAAGGGAGGCCTGAGCTCTGGTTTTGTGAGGAAAGGTACAGCTGGGAGACAGAGAGGGGGCCCACCCCATTGTGCTCAATTCCCAACAGCCCAGAGGCTGGGTGGAAGGGGCGGGACATGCAGACTGGCTGGGTTTTCCTTGTTGCTTTTCTTTGACAGCCTTTTTCATATTCCTGATTTTTCAAGAAACTCATCATTGTCAACAGAGCACGTGTTCCAAGTCAGCCCTAGATTTCAATGCTGGTTTTGCGACATGGATGGTGACCTGTGGCAAAATGGAGACCCCTATGCCTACCCTGCGGACTAGTTTGACAGTCACACGGGGGGACCTGAGGGAAAGACCCACACACCCAGCCGCTCTTCACTTCTCGCTCTTCTCCTCTCTCCCCTCCATCTGTCTGCACATTGCCCCCCACTTTCTCATCTTCACTCTCCTGGCTCAAGTGGGCTGGTCCCTTACTGGGTGGTCAAGGCCAGGCCACTTGGTGTTAGCTGTCCCACAGGGGTCCGGCAGATCCCAGATGGGTGGACGGATGACTGGATGGACGTAAAGCCCGGGGGTCTGACCCATGGGAGGTGCTGATCAATGTTGCCCCTCCCCTATCCCCTGGGCGGGGGGCCTGTGGTGGACTAAGCACTGCGACCCTGAGCCCTCGAAGCCGCCCAGACGGGAAGTGGAAGTGCCCCGGGGTGCGCGGGGACCCTGTGGGGCCCGCCGGGCGGCCGCGGGCCTGGGCTGCCATCCTACCGCGCCGCGCATGCTCCGTGCCCCCCCCCCCCCCCCCGCCGCCCCGCGCCCTGTTCCCACGCCGCCCCGGCCCCGCCCGCTCCCCGCCCGCGCCAGGCCCCGCTCCTCTGCGCTGGACAGACCAACCGACAGCCGCGCAGAACCCGCCTCCCAAGTGGCGCCCCGTGACCAGGCGGAGACTCGGCCTGGAGCCCCGCCACCTCCCGGAGGCGCTGCCCAGGAGGGCTTCTCGGAGGCGGCGGCCTTGGCCACGGGCCTGCGGGGGGGGCTGCAGGGCCTGCAGCCTGGCAGTCCGCGGAGCCGGGGTCCGCCAGCCGAGCTGGGCCGAGGAGGCCCTGGGCGGAGGCCCGTCTCAGCAGGTGGCGAGGGGGCGAGGGAGCTGCGGTGGCTCAGTCGGGACGCCCTGGGAGGCGGCGAGGACGGAGAGCTGCCCTCTTGCTGGGCGCCAAGGGAGAGCGGCCCGCTCGGGCTGGAAGGGCAGCCGGTTTCCCAGTTTCTCTTCTCTGACTGTGCTCCGCCGCTGGCCCTGGCGCTGGCTGCAGAGCATCCCGTCGCCGTGGCCGAGGTGCCTGGTAAGTTTGGATTTTGCGCCTCTGCCCTCGGGAGCGCCCGGCGGGCTGACATCGTGAGGTCGCCGCGCTGCTGCCGGAGCCGGCCGCCGCACAGGCCCTGAGGGCGCCCAGACGCGCTCCGGCGGGCGGGGGGGGGGGGGGGGGGGGCGGGGGCGGGGGAGACTTGGTGGGGGTTGTGCCCCTTGGTGTTGGGATGTTAGCAGTGACGATCGCGCCGCAAGAAGGCAGAAGAAGAGGAAGCCAAGGGCAGGATGCGAGGCCCGCAAGGGCAAGAGAAGTGAGCTGAGCTGAGCCGGGCTGTGCGGGGACTGCCCGCAGGGCTAGTTGGGACAGTCCCACGCAACAGGTCTCCCCAAGCACCCGCTATGGGCCAGGCTGCTCCAGGCATTGCAGACATCTCAGGGAGCCAAACACCAAGTTCCCTGCTCCCGGGTTCCGGTTCTGGTGGTAGGGCACAGATAAATTAAGAATTAGAGAGTATGTTAAACGATGGTAAGTGCCATGGGGAAAAATAGAGCAGAAGAACGGAGAGGAGGGGTCGGGTTGCAAGTTTAAGTAGTGTGGTTAGAAGGTGACATTTCTGAAAAACTTGAAGGAGGTGAGAGAGCATTCCAGGCAGAGGGAGCAGCCAGTGCAAAGGCCCTGAGGCAGGAGTGGCCTGGTGTGTGGTAGGAAGAGTTTGGAGGCCAGCGTGACTGGAGCAGAGGGAGGAAGGGGCTGGGAGGAGGGGAGAGGGAGGTCAGGAAGGGCCATGTGGGTTTCCTGTGAGTGAGATGGGCACCCCAAGGAGGGCTGTGAGCAGGAAAGGACAGAACCCCATTAGGAGGTGGCCCTCTGTATGGCCAGATCAGCATCTGCCCCCTGAGGGCAGGGCCTGGAGACACCAGTTGCAGGGTTGCTTCTCAGAGCTCTCCTTGGCCAGGGCTGACCTGTGGCGGCTCCTGAGCCAGACCTCAGCTCTGGGCTGAGGCTGGCCTCCCCAGGCCCTGGGTCCTCAGGCCTTTTCACCAGCTGAGTGGCAGGTGACATGGGCCTCAGGGAAGGATGCTGGGGCCAAGAGGAGGCAGTTGGGGCCTTGAATTGCCGGACCCCAGAGGAGGTTCCACTGGGAAGGAAGAAGCCCTCCCTCCTTCTGGATGGAAAAGCCCCAGTTCCTGATCCGGCCTGAGGGGGCTTGCTGACCGGCTCTCCTGTTTGTTTGTTTTCTGCTCTCTTTTCCTGGGGAACTAGCCCCATCTCGTGGTCTCGGGAAGGCACCAGCTCCGACGCCCCCGGAGGCCTCTCCCTTTGGGCTCCCGGCTCCGTTTCAGGTGGCGGTGCCGCTCTCCGCCCCGCTGCTCTCCTCCCCCAGGGGGCGCCCCGCACACTCGGCTTCACCTGGTCAGGGTGGGGGCAAGCGGGGCGCGTGTGCTCCCTCCTGGGGCTGGGCCAGCCTGGGAGGAGGCCAGGACAGCGGCTGGTTACCCAGGCTGAAAGGGCCTTCCCGGCCGCTTGCCCCGGCCCCTCACTGGGACCCAGTGTTGGGTTTCAGGGAAACCTGAGCTCTGGGGCCTAGATTCATCCTTCAGGCCAAAGGGGCTTAGGAGAAGCCACTTTCCAGTTCCACAAGCTCCTTCCAGCTTCTTCCTTGTCACGTGCTCAGGAGTGTCACCCCATCCCCTCCTGGGGTTACTTGGCATTAGGGTCTGTGAGGGTAGGACTTGTCGCGTACTTTCAGGATGTGAAAGTACGCTGACCCCAGGGGACTAGGACTCAAGGATGGACACTGTTGTGTGTGAGCAGTTCGCCTGGTCGGGGGGGACTCCAGCATTGCTCTCCGGCCACAGGCGAACCCTGCCCGCGGTGTTTCTCTCAGGTGGTCACAGCTCAACAGGTCCTTCTGTCTTGGGAGCTTGGAGCCCAGTGTGTCTTGGGCTGGGGGGACTAGAGAGAACACCTCTTACTTTCAACTTTCTTTTTGTTGCTCCATTCTTCTGCCGGTGGACACTTGGGTTGCTTCCGCCTTTTAGCCGCTGTGAATCATGCCGCTGTGAACACGGGTGTGCGAGTTTTTGTGTGAACACCTGTTTTCAGTGCTTTGAGCATATGCCCAGGAGTAGAACTGTTGAGTCATATGACGACTATGTTTACTTATTGAGGAACCACCTAACTATTTTCCCTTTTAGTTTTGAACCCTGTCAAGCAATCGGCCAGGTAGGGAGGCTAGTCTGACGAAGCCCAGCACCCCCCTCCCCGACCGGCAGCGGCCTCCAGCTCACCTCGCTTCTTTCTCACTCTTGCTCCCCTTCTCTCTTTCCTTTGTTTGTGCTGAAATATTTTAAAGTAAATTTATATGCCATCTTCCCCCCAAATGCTTCAATGTGCATCTCTGGAGAAGGACATTTTCTTCCATGACCCAGTGCCATTATCCACACAATACGTGAGCAGCAGTGGCCCCCAGTGTCCTGAGGACCGCTCCACAGTCACCCCCCATGCCCTCCAGTGCCTTTGGCTCCTCTCTCCTTCATGCCAGCATCTCATTGAGGATTCCCGTTGCACTTGGCTGTTGAGCCCTGAGATCTCTTTTTCGTCTGGGACAGCCTGCCTCCCTAGCCTCCTCTTTTCCCCATAACACTGATTTGCAGAAGAGACTGAGGAACAACCCACCTTCTGGATCGGGCTGGTTGCTTCCTTGTGGTGTCTTTAACTGGGCCCTCTGGCCCTGTTGGGTCCCAAGGCTGCGTTCGAACCGGGTGGAACTTTCGCAAAGAGCCGTCCTGGGCAGCCTCGGCACCCCCGTGCCATCCCCGCAGCAGGCACGGCCCGCTTCTGTCCTGCCGTCCAGTTTGCTTTCTCTCCTGTGATCAGCAGTAAACAGGGGAAGACATTCAGACATCACGTGGATGTCTCTTCTCCCTCAGTCTTTCACCTGATGGTTTTAGCATCCATTCCACCTTAAGGGATTCTTTCTCTCTGATTAATATAAACTTCTTCATCAGACACGTGAGTTTATTTATTTATTCTGGGCCAATGTTGATCAACAGCTCATCACGGGTGATAAGGGACTTAGGGATGATTTAAATGCTCCAGGGACCGTGTCCCCTCATCCTCTCTCCTGAGGCACAAGCAGCCGTGGTGGCCGAGGGCAACGTAAGGAGCGTGCTCGGCCCACTCCCTCATAAGCCACTGCCTGCTGCCTCGGCTCCTCGGCCAGCCGGGACTTCCACAGGGTGGTCTCCAGTTGGATGGCGATAACATCCTTGGAGCAAACTTTCTTTTGCAGCCCTGTCTTCCAGCGCTGAGAACTGATGCAGAGATCTGACCCTATCCACTTTGTCAATGACACTTTCCTTAGCACGGGCCCCAGCTCCCTCCCATCCCCGAGGGGGTGTGGCCTCACCTTCTGTACCCCCCAGTTTTCAGCATCTCATTAGCTGGGTCTTTCTCTTCTCCTTGAGAGCAAGTCTGTTTGCAGGCGGAGGTGGTATTTGTGTGTTTGGATTTTTTCGACCTGAATCAACCTGAGGGAAAAAGGGGTCGGCAATGGAGCTTCCAGGGATGGCTGGAAAGCCAGGCGTCGGGGTGCTGCCCACATGGGAAGAGGGCTGAGGAAAGAAGGAAATGAGAAGAAAGAGAGGAGGAGAAGCACAGTCCCTTGAAAGCCTGTTTGGTCGAGCTTAGAGTAGGAGGGGGTGAGCCCCTGTCTGGGGCCCTCTACACAGGGAAGGAGAGGGGACAGAAGCTCAATTGGGGAAAGAGTTGTGGGTTGAATTGTGTCCCCTGAAAAAAGATCTCTTGAAGTCCTGCCCCCCAGTGGCTGTGAATGGGACCTTATTTGGATGAGGTTATACTGGAGTAGCGTAGGCCTCACCTCACCCCTGGCTCTTTCCCCCTCCCTTAGCTTCTCTGCATCCCTGCGATGGCGGCCATTCTCCTGACGGCCAGACCCAAGGTGAGTGGGGCTCCCCGACTGTGGGTGGCCCTTGGCCTCAGCGTCCCCCCTTGGCAGTCTCCATCTGCCGCCTCGCCTCCTCTTGTCCCAGACTCACAACTCTTGCAAATCTGAGCCTCCGCCAGCTGCCAAGCTCTCCGTGGCTCCCCTACCTCCTGTTAATTGCTGCCAGCTCATCCTGGGGCCCACAGGGGTGAATTCCCCTGCAGCCACAGGATTGGCTCATTTTAGGTGCCAGTATCTTTTGAGGACGTGTCCGTGTACTTCACCAAGACAGAATGGAAGCTTCTGGATCTCAGACAAAGGATCCTCTACAAGCAAGTGATGTTGGAGAACTACCGCCATTTGGTGTCACTGGGTAAGGACCCCCCACGGGCAAGTCCCCCTGCTCTGCCTCTGAACTCAATTTATTTCTGAGTTTCTTTGCTTGTTGGCTACTGTGAGCCCAAGAATAAATGCATTTCCACATCAGATCGGTAATCCCGTGTAGCCCAGCTTTTATCTCAATAGCACGGTCTTTAGCTAAATGTTTTGGGTAAATGTTTGGGCTCCTGTTAAACTTATTTTGCATATAAAATCATGGGTTAACTAAACCTCTTCTACCCAAAAGACAGATGCAAATTATCCTCCAATGTTTATATGCATTATTTTAGTCTTAAGTCATTTGTAGCAAAATTGCATTTTACATTCGTTTCATCTTCTAGAGTCTAGCAGCTTCTTTTCCTTGCATCAAGCCATAGAGGGCCAGGGACACAGAGGCCCAGGACCAGGCGTGCACTTGGTCTTCCGGCCGGGAGAGATCAGGAAGTGGCTGGGGCAGAGCCCCCCCCCCACCCCCGGCTGCACCGCACTGCCTTCCGGGTGCAGGGGATGCATTCGCTCCATTTCTCCTTCTGGGCTCCACAGATTTCAACTCTGTAGTCTGACCCCACAGAGAGAGGACTAGCTCCTTCCCTTTGGTTCTTTCTGGCCCTCACCAGGCAGATCTGGGATTTCCAGGGGAGTTCTGGAATCCTCACTTGAGTCTGGCCTAAGGAACTGAGACATGGGCTCTGTTTGATGGTGAAATGGGGGGCTTCGGCTTTCGGGGCACAGGCAGCCCCTGAGACTCCTCCGGGCCTTGGCCCCTGTAGATCCCTGCTCCAGCCCTTTGCCTGTCCCTTGGGGTCTCCACACAGATCCTCCACTTCCTGAAAGCCTGCCACCCTCCTTGCAGGCCAAATAGTAACACACCACAGGGCTGGGCTGGCGAAGGCCCCCCTGTGGCTCCCCCCACACCTGGGCACAGACCCGGTGGTTTGCAGCAGTGATGTGGGACGCAGGCCCCGCCCCAAGAACCACAGCCGCTGCTGCTCCTTGGGGAGCAGATCTCACGGCCCCTGCTGCCACCTGCCCACCTGAGTGGAATCTGTGTGGCCTCCGCATCCTGAGAGGAACTCTGCCCTTTCTCTGAACCTTCTTAGTGGCACTTTCTAGAGAGTTCTTTGTTCTCTGTTCCTGAAGATAGTAAGGCTGGGCTGAGTTCAGGAGTGACTGATCCACTTCATTTCCATGGACAGGATTTTCATCCTCCAAGCCTCACCTGGTGTCCCAGCTGGAGAGAGGGCAGGGGCCCTGGGTAGCAGATGTCCGAAGGATGGGGGCCACCACAAGAATGGAGGCAGGTAAGTGAGGGGAGCTCAGCCGGCTCGCCTGAGCCGTTTGCAAAGAGCGGCAGCCAAAGGAGGGTGGCGTGGACACTTTGGGTGGGAAATTCTCTTTTGGGGCAGATTTAAATCTCCCAAGGAGTTCCCCGTTGAGGCACCAGATGAAGGGAGCGCCCCCTGCTGTCTGTCAGCAGCTCACAGTTTCCACCTCCTCCCCTCTTGCTCTCCTGTCTGCCAATGATCATCCTGCTTCTTCCCCCACACCCTGGCGTCCTGAGTCCTCTCTTCTCTGCCTTGGCCTGAGGATGAGGATAAAGAACAAACCCTAATCAGAGACACAGGGAGGGAGTGACACTGGTTGGTGCTCTTTGGCTTTACAGGTGACAGGATAAAAAGCAAGATGTCGATTTCAAAGCAGAACCATTGTCCAAAAGAACTCGCAGGGGCCGATCTTCAAAGTGGTAACCAGGGCCAGGCAGCCAGGCCGCTGGAGGGCACACTGGAGCACAGACGGAAACACGCTCTCTCTCCACAAACAGGTTCCAGCGGGGGTGATCATCCCAGGGAGAAAGGTCAAGGCAGCTCCTCAGGTGAGGGAAGAGAGACTGTGCAGAGAAGTGACCTCAGCGCTGGACAGGATCCGGTGCTAAGGCCACAGTGTGCCAAAGGGGCAGACAAGCGATACCTGTGTCAGCAGTGTGGGAAATGCTTCAGCCGGAGCTCCAACCTCATCAAGCACCAGATAATTCACAGCAGCGAGAAGCCCTACAAGTGCCGGGAGTGTGGAAAACTCTTCCGGCGCAGCTTTGCGCTCCTGGAGCACCAGCGCATCCACAGCGGCGAGAAACCCTACACATGCCCGGAATGCGGCAAGGCCTTTACCCGCAGCTCCAACCTCATCAAGCACCAGATTATCCACAGTGGTGAGAAGCCCTATGAGTGCCCGGAGTGCGGGAAACTCTTCAGGCGCAGCTTTGCCCTCCTGGAGCACCGGCGGGTGCACAGCGGCGAGCGGCCCTACGCCTGCAGTGAGTGCGGCAAGGCCTTCAGCAGGAGCTCCAACCTCATCGAGCACCAGCGCACCCACAGCGGCCGGAAGCCCTACGCCTGCAGCCAGTGTCCCAAAGCCTTCAAGGGCATTTCCCAGCTCATTCATCACCAGCGCGTGCACAGCGGGGAGAAGCCATTTGAGTGCAAGGAGTGCGGGAAGGCCTTCCGCGGGCGCTCAGGCCTCAGCCAGCACCGGCGGGTGCACAGCGGCGAGCGGCCCTACGAGTGCAGCGAGTGCGGCAAGGCCTTCAGCAGGCGGGCCAACCTCTTCAAGCACCAGGCGGTTCACAGCGGGTGCCCAGACTGCTTCATTGCACCGGAGCAACCGCCGGCAGGCCGCGGGGCCGGGCAGGCCTGCCGCAGGAGCTCCGACGGCGCCCAGGAGCCCTGTGCAGGCAGCGGCCAGCGCAGCCAGGGTGGCGAGGCCTGCAGAAGGACAGTGCAGCTCAGCCATCGCCAGAAAACACGTGGGGGAAGGAAGCCCTCGGCGGGGTGCGATTGCGGAAAAGGGCTGGCCTCATAGGCCCACAGAAGACCCTTGGCAGAGCCCCGCCCTGAGGACAAGGGACACGAGCTGGACTCCAGGGCACAGCTGTCCTCGGCGCTGTCGCATGTGGGCCGCCGCGGGAGGGCCGGGTCTCAAATGAGGGGCCCTCCACTCCCCTCCCTTTGGTCCTCGATGATGCATAGAGACCACACCACAGACTCGTCCCTGGGCCGATGGCTGGCCACTGTCGTGTGTGCACAGGCATGCGTGTGAGCAGATTTGGATTCCATGTCGCAGCTGCTGAAAGCGCGCCTGCCCCACGGGCCTGGGAGGTGCTGGGCTGGAGCAGGTGTTGTGAGCGCCGCCGCAGGCTCGGCCGTGAGGTGGGCAGGAGCAGTTCGTGTCCTCTGTGGGTCGTTCACTTTCCCCCAAGACTTGTTAGTTTCCCAGTAGAAGACACTCAAAGCACTTTAAGCTTTCAAAAGCTTATAAATGGAGGGGACTTGAGGGAATTCGAAACTGTGGGCTCTACAGCTAGGCTGTGGTTTGACTGTGACATCACCTCAAATTCATCAAGAAATGGCCTGAAAATGGACTCAGGCAAAGGCGCTCATGGCCCCCCCATGCCACCTTGTCAGCCAGAAGCAAGTGGCGTCTGCTTTCACGCACAGCAGTGGGCCATTCTTTTCCTAGGTCATTGGTCCTTGTGCCTAAAAGCCATGGCCTTTTGTGGATGTCCCCAGCTGCTTCTGGAAGGAGTGGCACCCAGGCCCCGTCTTCTCAGTGTTGGAGAGTTCTGGAGGCTGGCTGGCCCAGGCCCCACAGGACTCTGGGCTTCTCCTCCTTTAGAGGAGCCCTTTCACTCTGGTCCAGTGCGGGAGCTGGCTCTGGGCAAGTCACGGTGGGCTTTGCCAGCGGCCGCCTTGCTGCCTTTCGTCCCCTTCTTGCCCACCAGGCCCCTGGGCTCACCCCACCCGCTGCCTTCTGCCCCCTAGACGCCACCAGCAAAGGCCGCCCTGGCCTCTCTGCCCCTCCTTCCCACTGTCAGTGCCTAAAGCTTCAGACTCAGCTGCTCTCCTCCAGCAGCTGCTCCCTGAGGCTGGTGCCTCCCGGGAGGAAAGCCAGATGGCTCAGGGCTTTGCACAGAGTGCCCAGTAACAGCTCTCTCATGGGCTCTATGTCTCACATGACGTTTCTTCAAATAGTGGAGGTTCAGTTGCTTTGAATGGTTTTGTGTTCACGGGTAATGTAAGTTGAAGATAGAGATGTTTGCCATATGAGGGCATCAGGGGATCTCTCCTTACTTACATAAGAAGCTCCCAACCCTCTGAGAAGACTTCACGCAGGAGAAAGGGCGCCGCCCCAGGCCTGACGGCCGATTGGCAGGGCGGCAAGCCCAGCTCCTCTTCTCCCTCCGCCCCCTTAGCCCTGCAGAGACAGGGTGGACCCTTCAAATGGCACTTTACTGCAGCCTAAGGGGTTCTTGAAGAGAAAGCTCCTGCTGGGGGGGGGGGGGGGGGCGGACAGCTGCTATCAGACTGTGCCCTGTCCTGCCCACACTGTCCCCAGAGCTGGACCTGGGAGTCCCCCCCCAGTGCTCTCAGCCCAGTGTCCTGGTCGGCTTCCCACCTCCTTCCAGCCCCCTTCACTCCCACGGGCTCTGGCTCTGTCACAGGAGCCACTCGAGGGCAGGGAGGTAGGTGGTAGGTGTGCTGGAGACCCCCACTGGGCCTCCGAGGAGTGTGTGCCCTCCCTGCCAGACGGGGGAGGTTCAAGACCCGTCAGGACAGCGTGAGGAGACCTGGAAATACAGGATTCCTTCTGACTGTGCTGCTCGGAGCTCCGAGTGCTAGGACAACTGCAGAGTGAGAGCGAGCGATAGAGACAGACAAGCTTTAAATAGATTAAAACGATTTTTCACACTTAGGACTTATGGAAAGTTCTAGAATTCTTGTAACTTGCTCTTATCTCATAGCCTCCCTCACTGGGTCCACATCCCCATGTCCTTTGACAGCCTCCTGCTCTGCACGTCATGCTAGTCTTTGGGGCGCTTGTTTCCAAGCCCAGTGCTTGGCACTCAGTAAAGGCTTGTGAAGTGAACATTGCCCCCCAGCACACTGAACTCAGGTTCTATCTCGTAGTTGGCTCTAGCCTTACCTTGAGATAGTTGAAAGTATTTGCAACTTTGGATTTTCCAGTAGAAACAGAGGTATTAGGAATGGTGTGTTTGAAGTCCATGGAGAGGTCGTTGGGCTGGCATAGATTCAGGATACCTATCCCCATGGAGGGCAGGAGACAGTGGCAGGAGGCCATGCGCTTGGGCTCTGCTCTCATTTTGTCCGACCGTGGCCCAACCGGAATTGGGGCACCAAGTGCCACATGATGGAAACTGGGAGGAGCACAGATCCGTGCACTCTGATGTCCACTTCCATCACTCCAGTAAGTGAGCGATTTCGCTCCAACAGGCCTGTCAGGAACCTTTAATAAATCTTCTTTACTAAAGAAGGGGTGCACCTCCCCAGTATAATGTCCTCCCGTTGGTTCTACTGAATAAGCTAAGTCAGTTTTACCCTGAGCTCCTGTTTTCACCTTGGGACCCAAAGATGCCCAGGGGCGGGGAGGCGCACAGATGTTTTCAGCAGCAAGGGGCTTTGCCGGGAGAGGTGCCGAGCACTTGCAATCTGGTTTTGGAATGCCCTGGAAAGCTCCAGGGTCTCCAGATGCTTACACAGACAAGTGACAGTTTGAGTAGCGATGAATCTTCTGGTTTGTCGGGTCTTGGGTCTCGGTCCACTCTCGCTCCTCTTCGGAAACGCTCCGCAGCAAGGCGGTTATGAGCGCCATTTCCCTTCAGATGTGGAGGGCAGGGATGCCCAGGAACTGAACGGGTATTGCGCAGAATACAGGTCAGAGGGCGGCTGGAGACAATGCTTATGTTCCTCCTTCTGCACGGCCCCGGGATTGGGCCCCCACACTCTGGCTGCGTGGGGAACTGCGATGATGGCCCACACTTGCTTTCTGACAGACGACTGACATGGGGACTCTTGGGGACGTCCTCCCCAGGAACTGCCCTGGACGGCAGCCCCTCTGCACCTCTGTGCCGGCCTTCTGCTTCAGAGACGAGCCTGCAGGACGCTGGGTCAGCCCACAGCACAGCTGGGCCCTTGGAGCGTTTGTCCTTTGAAACTTTGGAGACTTTTCAAGAACCATGTAAACGCTATGGTAGTATCTGCATGTAACTGGTGAACTGTCCTGACTGCATTCATTTCCTTCAGGTACAGACAAATAAGGACGGTCGAAGGGTGTTGGCCTTGAAAGGAGCCTGCTAGTGGAGATGGCCTGCGCTGATGGCTGAAAGTAATGGACAGCACTTGGGTTCATGGCCTCAGGAAAGGCTGTGAGCGTGGCATTGGGGGGAAGCTGAGAGACCGTGTTTGGGCATCCCTCGGCCCCCAGCGAAGGTAAGGCAGAAACCCTCGAGGGCGAGCTGCACAGGGATCAAGGGCAGTCACCGGAGGCCGGTCGGACGCTGTGACTCTGAGACCAGGAAGGGCAGAGCGCCACGTCAGACCCCTGAGAAACACAGCTGTGTCTTGCTTCCAGTTGTTTCTGTTGCTGTTCTTCAGGCAAATGGCAGCGCCCATTGGTGTGGGTGCCCTTTCCAGCCCCATGTGGCGCTGTACAGAAGGCAGCTCCGCCTTCACCCTTCCTTCCATTGGTCACTTCTTGGCCTCCCTCTGCAGAGGAAGTCCAGCGTGGACCCCCATCTGTCTGTTGGCCCAGAAGCCCCTCCCCCTGGCCTTGCCACCTTGTGGCCACAGGTGCCTCAGTCTCCTCTCTGTCTGCCTCGTCCCCCAGCCATGCTCGGGGCCCCTGGCCCTTTCCACTGTCCTCCATCTCTGATGGCCGCTCTCACTTCTGGCTGCCCTGGCTGCGTCTGCCTTTGTGCAGCCGTGTCTGAGTGCAGGGCTACCCTGGGGCTTTCTGTAGGCCTGGAGTTTAGCTCTTTCCAAGTACGGACGCAGCCTTAGAACCTTTCTGTAGATGACAAACTGGCTCAACTTTGCGAAGCTGCCGGGCACCTTAAACAAAGAAAGAGTCAAGACCCGGCCCCCTGGGCTTGAGTGGCTATAATCCCAGACTTGCCCCCAAGGGAGGAAAGGGCAGGCCTGGGAAGGGGGCTGTCAGAGGATTCTGTTGTCATTGTCGCACGGGTGCAGCAGACTCCCTGGGAACCCACATCCTCACTCCTCCACTCAGCCAGGGGGACACAGTTAGGGATGCGGAATGTACGCCTTGTTAGGCAGCAAAGTGTGATAAGCGGTGTCTCGGGGCCAGGATGGGAGTAAGCACCAGGAAGGAGAGGCCAAAGGATGTCGGGCAGGGCGGAGGGAAGAAGCGGGAGCGTGTGCCATGTTCAGGAACCAAGAAGGGCAGACAGCTTTCTGTAGGACAGTCGCGGCTGCACGGGCATTAGAAGCAGAGTGCAGAGGGCCTGGGACGCCCAGCTCCAGGTGGTTGCTGATGAGGAGCAATTTCTTTCAACATGAGAGAATCGTTCTAGGATTGAGGAGGGGAAGTTAAGGTAAATTATGTAACTGCTAGAGTGTGTACATTTACACATGGATGTCCGCCAGGTATACACACTGAGGTCATCTGGATGCTTCTCATACTTGTCAGGTGTTGACACGTGCGTGTGGATAGCAGCAGTCCACCACCCACGAGGCTTTGACATGAGTGGCCTCAATCGACATTCTGGGGACTTGCCACGTGCCACGGCTGCTGATTCTCCCCCTTTCTTTGACAGCCTCATAGAGGTGGCGCTGGCACACAAGGAGCCGCGTGTGGTGCAGGCGTGCAGGCGGATGGGTGTTGACGTGTGAACACCTGTGAGACCCTCACCACGATAAGACAGTCCACATAGATGTCATCGCCCCCGGAAGTTACCGTGTCCCCCAGTACGCCCTTGTTCCTGCCTCTCCCTGCCCCCATCCCCACAGCTACTGCTCTGCTTTCCGTCACTGTAGTTTAGTTTGCGTTTTCTAGAATTCTGTGTAAATGGAATCCTGCAATATGCACTTTCTTGTCTGGCCTCTTTCACTCAGTGTAATGATTTTGAAATTCATCCGGGTGGTGCCGTCTGTCAACCCTTCACTTTTCACTGCTGAGTGCTAGTCACTGTGTGGGTGTGCCGCAACACCTGTGGGGTACCTGTAGACAGACACGGGGCTTGCATCCGCTTTGGGGCCATGACAAATAAAGCTGCTGTGAACAGTAGTGGACAAGTCTCTGTGTGCACATCTGTTTTCCTTTCTCCTGGGTACACAGCTGGGAGTGGAGGTGCTGGGTCCTATGGCAATTCTGTGCTTAGCTTTTTGAGGAATTGCCGAACTTTTCGACAACATTTGCACCATTTCACGTTCCCTGGGCTGTGCGGAGGGGTCCAGTGTCTCCCCGTTTCTCCACTGTGTGTGATTGTCCATCTTTCTGACTCCGGCCCTCCTACGGGTACAGAGTCGGGTCTCATCACGGTTTTATGTGCATTTCCCTGATAACTAATGATGTTGAGCATCTTTTCATGTGTTTGGGGGCCATTCATAAATCTTTGCTGGAGTGTCTGTCTAAATCTTTTCCCCATTTTTTAAGTTGGGTTGTTTGTCTTACTATTTAGTTGTAAGCGTTCTAGATACAAGTCCTTTGTCAGATATGTGTTTTGCAAACATTTTTTTCCAGACTGTGGCATGCCTCTCCATTTTCATAACAGTGGTTTTTGAAGAGCAGAAGTTGTTTTATCTTTATGAAGTCCCATTTATGGATTTAAAATTTTTTTAGTTTGTAATTTTTGTATCGTAGTTAAGAAATCTTTGCAAGACTCAAGTCAGTAAGATCTGATCCTCTGTTTTCTTATAGAAGTTGTATAGTTTTAGCTCTTACATTTAAGTCTATGATCCATTTTGAATTAATTTTTGTATATATGGTGCGAGGTGAATTCACAGTTCATTATTTTCTATATGGATATCCAGTTTTTCCAGCACCATCTGTTAAAAAGATGATCTTTCCCCAGTTGAACTGCCTTGGCCCCTTGCTCAGAAATCACTCAGCCGTGTGGGAGTCCACGTCTGCGCTCTGTGTGCTGCTCCATCAATTGAGTTGTCTGTCTTTATGCCCACGTCACGCTCTCTTGATTACCGTGGCTTTATAGTAAGTCTGGAAATCAGGTAATGCATGTCCTCTGATGTGGTTCTTTATCAAAATTCTTTGGTCTGTCCTAAGTTCGTTGCATTTCCGTATGAGTTTGAGAATACCTTGGCAATTTCTGTGGCAAAGGAAGCCTGCTGGACTTGGACTGTGATTGCGTGGAATCCATAAATCGCCTTGTGGAGGTTGACATTGCACAGTAGGGAGCCTGTCCGTCCGTGAACATCACACAGCCCTCAGTCCTCTCGGCAGTGGGGTGTGGTGTCAGTGTCCGGTGGCACATGCGTTGGCAGGTTCACCGCTCCCTGCAGTGGCTGACGTCGAGGTTGTGGTTTCAGCCATCCTGAGTAACCCACATTCTCACAGGCTCACACACATACACGGAGCCTCTCACTGTGGGCCCCATGCCTGTGTTCCCGTGATGCCTTGGTGGAGCCCAGCCCACATTGGATAACGGCCTTGGCCATAATCTAAAACAGAGCTGTGTGTCCCATGTTCATGTTTCTGAGGATTTATCATTGTTCCAAGAGGTTTTTTAAAAGTTTTTCTGGCCAAAGCTTCTACCAGAAAAACAAAATCAAATCGAAACAAGGAGGCAAGAATCAGGTTAATTTTTGTCTTTTTCCAGTGAAAATATTCCTCACTTAATGTATAATGTACTTTTCTTCCACATTCTGGCTAGTTAAGTGGGAACAAGGCAAAGGAGGTGGAGAGCGAGCCAAGTGGGCAGAGAAGGGCTGGGGAGAGAAAGACGAAGGAGGAAAGAGGAGAGCAGCTTTGCAGTGATTGAACACTTGCGTAGAAGATGTCTTGGTTATTTCCTCAGATTATGGAGGTGGGATGGAGGAACAAACACACACAGTGTATCAGTTAGGAAAGTGGCCACAAATAATAGAAAACCTGACTATGGTGGATTAAATAATTAGAGGTTTAATTTTCTCACATAAGGAATCTGAAGGTAGCTTGCTGGCACTAGTTGAGCAGCAGAGCATTGGCAGGACCCAGCATCTCTCTAATTAGCTTAGCTTTTCCTCATGATCACAAAATGGCTGCTAAAGCTCCAGCTATCACATGTGCATTCAAAGACAGAAGGAGGAAGGAGAAAAGACAACTGCATCTGTCACCTTTTATCAAGAAAGTAACAATTTTCCCAGAAACTAGCCCAGCAGACTTCCCCTTAGGTCTCAGCCAGAACTGAATCACATGGCCACCCTTAGCTGGAAGAGAGGCTGGGAAGGTGGGGGACAGGATTGTCATGACCTGTCATCTGAGGCTGAGTCCACCGATGCCCTGAACAAAATTGGAGTCTTATCCCCAGAGAAGAAGGTTGGAATAGATATTGGGTGGTGTTGTGGATTGAATCGTGGCCCCAAAAAATATATGTTGGAGTCCTAACCCCCGGGACCTCAGAATGTGAGCTTATTTGGAAATAGGGCTGTGCTCCAGTGTAACCTTGAAACTTCAGTTATTCAGTCTCTCACTGTTCTGGAGGCTGGCAGTCCACAGTGAAGGTGGTGGCGGGGCTGCACTCCCTCTGCAGGCTCTAGGGACGCACGTTTCTTGTTTTCCAGCTTCTGGGGTCCCCAGGTGTTCCTTGGCTCATGGCCGCATCACTCCAGTCTCTGGCTCTGTCATCACATAACCTTCTCCTCCGTGTCTATGTCTCTCCTCTTCTCTTATAAGGACATTTGTCACTGGATTTAAGACCCATGCCAGGTAAGCCAGAATGATCTCAACTTGAGATCTTTAACGTAATTGTATCTGCAGAGACCCTTTTCCCAAATGAGGTCACGTTCCCAGGGTCCGGGGATTAGGACACGGGCAGCCCCATACACACAGGACGGCTGTGCCCCTCCTCACCACCCCCACGGGCCGGGCCAGAGTAGACACATGTGGGGGGAGGGTCCACAATTCCTTGCTCTTTCTCCTTCTTCTTCAGGAGCAGGATTCCCAGGTTCTCAACCTGACGTACCTGGCAGGTGGGCCAAATGCTCCACTTCCTGAGGTTGCAGGGCTCCGAGAGTGAGCCAGCTGACAGGTCTCTAGCTGTCAGCAAGGGAACTGGCAGGAAAGCCTGTGCCAGCCTTCTATGGGCCAGCCCGGCCCCACCTCCAAACTTCCAACTCTCCTGCCTCCTCCCCACTTCTGTTTTGCCAGGCCCTCTGGCCTGTCCTTCCCAGCCCCTGCCACCCGCCATCATTCCGTGCGGCCGGCCCTCTGGGCTGCTCACCCTTCATTCCTGCACTTCCCGCCTTCTCTTCCTCACCTGGTCTCAGGCCTGGTGCAGCTAAATAACCAGCCACACTCCAAACAAGCCTCGAAGTGGGCCCCATGCATCTTCATCCCGCCCGGCAGCTCCCTGCCCCTCAGGGGCTCCAGCCCCTCCACCCATCCCACAGAAAAGCCGACGTGAATGGTGTACACTTAGCACTTTGGGTGACAGCACCAAGCTAGACCTTTCTAAAGACGCCAAATCCCAGGAACGCTTCCCAGCAGCCCTGCCGAGAGCCCTTCCCGAGAGCCCTGGTTTTGCTGAGCTTGGTGGCAGTGAGAAGAGGTGGAAAGATGGCAGGGAAGCCTCCTGGAGAAGGGACAATCCATCTTGGGTATTTGAGAGACCACATGCTGAGTGTGCACGGGAAGCTGCCCTGGGGAGAGTCCAGGCAGCTCACAGGACAGCCGAGTGTCCCCAGAGAGGCGAGTCCTGTAGGGCAGCGCCCGGGAGCCCAGCGGGTGACGAGAGCACTGGGCCTGCCGCGCCCTCACTGCCCGCCGACTCCTTGGGCAGGCTCCGGCTGCGGGGCGCTCGGGGCGAGGACAGGCGGTGGGGAGGGCGCCCACCTCCCTCAGCGCGGAGGAGGCGGCCCGCAGGGAGTAAGGGCCTATCCAGCGGGGGTTTCCCTGTTGGAAAGGGACCTTCCTCCCAGCCCTTTCTTAGAGCACTGCCAGGAGAAATCTCCCCTTTGTGAATCCTTCCTCTGCCCCTTTGAGATGTATGTAAATCTTTGTAAACCTAAATAGGCCTCCTGCCAGCCTCACAGCCCGGGAAGGTTCTTTTTAAGGGCCCGGAGGCCCCTTTTGGAAATGCAACTCTCGAGAAGGTAGCGCTCACGCTCTGCTCCCAGCTCTGCTGCAGACGGAGAGCTCTCGTGGTTGGAGGATAAAGGCCATTCTCTAGCACAGATGGCCGCCCTGATGACCAGGCGGACCTGCGAGGGGCTGGGAGTGGCTCTCTGGAGAAGCATCTGCCTGGCTCCGTGAGAGGGTGACATTGCCTTCTGGCTTTGCCGTCTCCTTAGCGGACTGCCCGAGCGGCTTGCTTTTCCGCAGCTGCAGAGAGGACTCTGCAGAGCAGCACGTTTCGTTTTCCCAGTACAGACAGGAGTCGGGGAGAGGACCTAAGTGGAAGGACTGGGGCCTGGGGCAAGGACCAGCACGCCCAGCTGTCGGGACAGAGCTGGGCCCACAGAGGCCTCCCTGGGACTGTAGCAACTGTCCCACCTCGCCCCACTTAAGGGACCCAGCAGCCGGGCTAGAAACAAAGAGCTGGAAGTTGGGAGACTTTGTATACACGCATCCCAACTCGCCACACTGTCTACATGAGTATGTGCAGGGTTCTGTATACCAACTATACCTCAATAATGCTGGAAGGAAAAGTAAAATAACAATTAAATTACATTTAAAATAAAATTTAAAAAGAAGCGCCCAGGATGCTGGCCAGGAGACAAGAAATAAGGAAGAGAGTGTCAGGGCAGAAACAAGTTAGCAAATGATTGAAGAAAACCTCCTTGAGAAGACAAGGCCCCTCGTCTACCCATCAGGTGGACTCCTCAAGCTCCACACCACATTGCCACAGACCTGGGCATTCCGGAACCCCCAGGATAACGGGAACATCTTAGAAACTTCCAAACAGAAGGAACCAGCCACAGCAGAAGTGGATCCAAGTAGGCCAGCTCCCTGGGCAGCTCTGGAAGCCGGAAGCTGGGGAAATGTCTGCAGGCCTGGGGGGCTGCAGCCCACGGCTCCTTTTCCCAGCCAAAGTCACTCACCCAGCTGGGGAAGGAGAGCGAGAATTCAGAAACTGTCTCCTAGAAGAAAAACTGCTGGACCAAACAGGACAGAGGCCTCGGGAAAGAAGAGGGGACGAAAGGAAGCAGTGGTGGGCGGCTCTGTCTCGATGGGTGACAGCAGAGGGGCCGGCGGGTGCACCGCGAGGGACAGGGATTCAGGGGCCTCGAGCACTGAGTTAACACCAGGCGAACAGCGACCGTTTAACAGGCATCGTGCTGTCTCATTTTCTGTATCAACATGGGTAGGCTAGGGTGCCCAGTTTTTGGTTAAACATCAGTCTCGAGGTTGTGAAGGGATTTTTTTAGATGAGATTAACATCGAAATCAGTCGACTTTGAGTAAAGCAGATCACGCTCCATGATGTGGGCGGGCTGCATCCAGTCAGCCAAAGACCTTATGAGAAAAAGACTGAGGTGGCAGGGCCGTTTCCTTGTCCACATACAGAGAACCCTGACTGATGCGTGGAGAGACGGCCGGACGCACAGGAAGATGCCGATACAACACAATTATAATGGGGCATTTTAATATAACGCCATGAAATTGGACAGATATGGTAGACAAACAAGTAAAAACATAAAGGAATTATATAGTACAATTGTGAAACTAGATTCTAGGGAAATATAGGAAAGCAAAACCTCTTAAGGAGAAGCATGTTTTTCAGAGTCTGTGGAATATTTTAAAAAGTTATTTATGCATTTGGCCTCTGTTGTGGGTTGAATTGTGTCTCCCCCCAAAAAAGATATGTTGGAGCGCTAACCCCCAAGACCTCAGAATGTGACCATATTTGGAGACAGGGTCCATACAGAGCTGACTAAGTAAGGATGAGGTCATTAGGGTGGGCCCGAATCCAATATGACAATAATCCAACATAAAAAGAGGACATCTGGGCACAGAGACACACACAGAGGGAGAAGACAGCCGTGTGAAGATGGAGGCAGAGATCAGAGTGATGCATCTACAAGCCAAGGAAGGCCTAAGATGGCCAGCAGCCACCAGAAGCTAGGGGAGAGGCCCGGAGCTGATTCTCCCTCCAGGCCCTCAGAAGGAACCGCCCCTGCCCACACCTTGCTTTCTGGCCTTCTGGACTCGTTTAAGCCATCCAGTCTGTGGTACTTTGATACAGCTGCCCTAGAAAACTAATACGGCCCCCAAACAACCTTAAGCAACACATCCTCAGCTGATTATCCAATACAACTAGAACTACATGATAAAAGATGACCACAAGGTCTTCATGACTCAGAAATTCAGATCAACTCTACTCTGCAACCATTAGATCGGTGAGGGAACAAGAAGTGGAATCAGCGATTGTCTCTAACGTCTACTGGCAAGCCCGCAGGCCCAGGAAACCTCGGCCAGGGGCCGCTGGCAGCCTTTGAACATCTCACTTATTCAGGATGGAAGATGATGAAGGAGGGGCATCTTTTTTTTTGCTTTGTTTTGTTTTGTTTGTTTGTTTAAAGATTTTATTTTTTTCCTTTTTCTCCCCAAAGCCCTCTGGTACATAGTTGTATATTCTTCGTTGTGGGTCCTTCTAGTTGTGGCATGTGGGACGCTGCCTCAGCATGGTTTGATGAGCAGTGCCATGTCCGCGCCCAGGATTCGAACCAACGAAACACTGGGCCGCCTGCAGTGGAGCGCGTGAACTTAACCACTCGGCCACGGGGCCAGCCCCCAGGAGGGGCATCTTTTGCTTGACAAATTAGGGAAAAAGAATAAAAACTAACCCAAAAGAAAGTAGACAGAGGAAATTAATAAGGATGAAAGCTGAAGTTAACAAAGCAGAGAGCAAAAAGGAGAAAGGATAAATCAAAATCCTAGGTTTCTCTTTGAAAAGCCCAATGAAGTGTAGAAATGAGGAAGGAGACAGTTCTGCCAATACTGATGAAGCGGGAAGAGTCACAGCAACGTGCCGACCGCCTGGAAGAAACTGCCTTTACAGACGCCCAAACGACAAAGGTGCTGACGATTTTAAAAGCAGCATCTAGTAAGATCCCACTTATGCAAAATCATAAGTGAATGTGTGTGAAGAGGTGCATGTAAGCGTGGGGGGTTGGGGGAGCCAGCATGTGCGAGTGGGGGGTGGTGTCTGTGTGGGGTGTGTGTTTGCACACCCATGTGACAGGGGGTGTGTGTGAATGGGGGCCTGTGGTGCAAGTGTGGGGGTGCGTATGAGTGCAGGGGGAGTGGGGACTCACGAGTGAGTGTGGGGTGCACATGCGCACGAGCCGAGTGCAGAAAGCAGGGTCCCCACAGTGCCGATGCTGCTTTCTGGGGATGGGAATCCCCACCGTGAACTCTCTTTGGACGCCCGTCGGGGTGAACTGTGAATTTTGTGCAACGCCAGGTGGTGTTTACAGGAAATGTGAACCTGCAGCAGCGTCCCCGAGGAGACCCGGCAGCAGGGCTGGCCCATTTCAGGTCTCCAGCTTTCGGCTCCAGGCTTTTTTGTGGCCTGGTTCGGGGCTGTCCTCATCACCTTGTCCCCTGCACAAAGACAAGCTGGCACGGCTCCTGGCTTGGTTACTTTTGTACTCGTCCCTCTGCATGGATAATGCCATTTTCAATTGGCTTGCATAAGATGTCCCCCAGGTATGCTCCTGGTCACAGCTGTGTCCCCTTTGGCAGACACTGATGTGGCTTGTCAGCTGTGCCACCTCTTGACAAGGGGCGGGTGGCTGGCCAGAGGGAACTGGAGCGGTGCAGCTGGTTCTTTGGGTGTGGCACCTTTCACGCAGCATGGTGACTCTGAGTCCCTCTGACTGCTCAGCAGTGTCCCGCCATGGGGACGCGCCTCCGTGTGTTGCACCCTTCACCTGCTGAGCGACATTTGCATTGTGTCCTGTCTGGGGCTGTTATGAATAAAGCTGCCATGAATGTGCAAGTCTGTGTGTGGCCACGTACATTTCTTTCTCCCGGGTGAATAAATGTCTCGGCGTGGAATCGTGGGGCCATTATGGTGGGTGCATGCTGAACATGTTCAGACACAGCCCAACTGCTTTCCAAAGTGCTCATCCCATCTTAACTCCACCAGCGGTGTGAGAGAGGGCCGGTTCTCCCAAAGCCTCGCCAACCCTTGCTATGGTTGGTCCTTTGTATTCCAGCCATTCTAATAGATGATATGCGTTTGGGAATTTTCAGAGCTGGCTGTTAACCACCACCATTATTAAAAAATAAATTACGTAGGGGCCAGCCCCAAGGGCCTAGTGGTTAAGTTCAGCGCTCTTTGCTTCAGCGGCCCAGGTTTGCTTCCCGAGTGCAGACCTACACCGCTCTGTTAGTGGCCATGCTGTGCTGGCGGCCAACCACATACTAAAAAACAGGATGGTTGGCACAGATGTTAGCTCAGGGCGAATCTTCCTCAGTGTAAATAAATAAATAGTAAACTTCCACTTAAAGAAATTAGAGACAAAAGAGATACTCAAAAGTCATCACATCTTACTTCAGCAGACACTATGAACCAGGGCTTGATCTGTTAAAGTTTGCCTGTGTAGACTTGAGTCTGTAGTCATTACATTGTGAATAGAAAAAAAAAAAAAGCAAATACCTTTCCAGTATAAAAAACTATTATCCAGCTCAGCAAAGGAGTTGCTCACGTCACCAATGAACATGTGAGGTTCCAACATGCATCTCTGTGGTTTCACTTTTGTTTTACTCATTAGGATACATGAAAATATTAACTAGCATTTGTGTGGGAACCACACTCGTCCATTAGTTGCAAGCATGGCAGGGTACGGATACAAGAGTTCAGCAGAAGTCAACGGAGGGACTTTTCGAGAATAAACTAGCCATGTGAAACTTCTAAGTGTATTGTATATTTTGTATATATTGTAGATTTCATTATTTGTAAAGCATGTGCTCACATCCTTTCTATCAGTAACCTTTATAATAAACATGTATGTGTGTGCGTAAAGAGAGAGAGAGAAATAGACACACACATGTAGGCCCACACGGACTTCCCTAGAAGTCCCTAGGAGTGCCCACCCGTTTCCCAGCACATCACTGCTTTCAGGCAGCAGGGGGCAGGCCTCAGCCTGCCTGTGCGGTGTGCAAGGTGGGAAGCTTGGACGGGCCAGTCTGAGCTCGGGCTCAGGCAGGGGGCCTGAGGCCAGGCTGCCGGGAGGCCAGGAGAGCACGGAGTGCTGAGGGAGCTGCATGTGGGCCTGCGAAAGGTGAGAGGGCCCAGAAACCAGAGACCACTCTGGGGCGTGGCAGCAGCCACAGGCCAGGCTGTCAACCTGCTTACCCAGGCCCGGAGTTGAGCCCCTCCTAGCTTGCGTGCCAAGGGAGAAGGGATCCTCTTGGCATTACCCACTCAGCAATTGGTGACCTGGAGCCTGGCCACCCAGATAAAGGGGACCCAGCCCTGCCAGGGCGCTGGGGATCTGAGGAGCCCTGGCTGCCTCAATCTTCATGGTGCCCCCCATTCTTTCAGCTCCTGCCTGATGCATGCTCCTGGACTGAAGGCCCGCCCTGGCCTGGCCTTGTGGCACTCTCCCAGGTGGGTCCCCTCCCGGGGCAGGGAGCCAACTAGCCATCCTCAGGAAGCTCAGCAGTGCATGGATCACATTCCCAAACTAGACCCCTGCCGGTCTTTCCCCTATGTTGCACCCTCCCCTACTCCTGCCATTCTGTCCTTGGCCAGGCTGGTAGCTCTCCCTCCCAAAGAGCCCCAGTGCCTGTGCTCCTCTCTCCCTCGGTTGCTGCCCTCCCCTTCCAGGCCTGCTCTAGTCCCTTCTCCACACAGCAGCCTGACAGCTACAGTAAAAAGAGCAATCAGATTGTGCCCCTCCCCTGTTTACAACCGTCTGTGGCTCCCCATTGCCTTCAGGGTCAGTCCAGGCCCGCCAGCCTGGGCAATGAGGACAGCCTGAGGTCACTACTGCCTGTGTTCTGGCCTCACCATTCTGCCACCTTGCACATTGCAATGGCTCTAGTCACTCTGACCTACTTAGGGTTCCCAGAACGGGCCCGGCTGGCTCAAGGCTCTGATCATGCAAGTGACTCTCAGGCACGGCCACCCCACCCACCCTACCCTTCTCACCTGTTCTGTCTCCCGGACATCCTGCCCCTGACTTGTCCCCTTGTTTGGTGACACAGGTGGGGCCCGAGGCAGCTTAGTCGGCTCCCGAACGCCATCTGAGGTGGCTGCCAAGAAGCTGCCCTCCTTGCGGAGCAGCCTCCTGGACCTCCTCTGGCTGCACCACAAGGGACACGGCCCAGGAGGGACTTCTTCCTAGGTGTCACCCTCACTGTGCCGGCCACCTCACCTCTCCTACGTGCCTCAGGTCAGCTCTAAAGTCCAGCCTGCCTCTGGGCGTCGTCTCTGTCACCCCATGCGCTCCAGTGGGCCCTCTGCGCTTGACTTGCACATTTAAGGTCCTTTTCATGTATGTGCCTGTGTGCAGCCAGGGGTGCCCCCTTATTCTCCAGCACCCAGAGCGTGCCAGGCACCGTGCTGCTCTGCCTACCTATCATATCACTTCAGCCTGTCACCACTTTGTGAAGCAGAGACAGAGGCTCCAGGAGGGGAAGTAGGTGGCTCAGGGTCCCACAGGGGCTGGTGCTAGTGCTGTTTATTGAGAGACAGAGTGAGGGGTGGGAGCCCGCCGAGGCTGAGGGTGAGGCTGAGGCTGAGGCTGAGGCTGGGGCTGGGGCTGGGGCTGGCAGAAAGTTCTAGGGCTGCCAGGCCAGTGAGGCCAGGGCCAGGGGGAAGCCTGGCAGCTGCAGGGGCAGTGAAGCACTCATCCGGTGACAGCTCCAGGCCTCAGAGCCCGGCTGAACCGTCAAGGCTGGCACTGCCCATGGTGCAGGGACCAGGCCTCATCCCGCTGGGTTGTGGCATCACGGAGGCCCTGGCACTCAGGCCTCGAGGCATGCACCATCAGGTGGTGTGTACATGGGCTCCACGTGGGCCCAGCTGCAGGCCTGCTCATCGGCCCAGGCAAGCAGCTCAGCAGCGCGGTGCAGGAAGACCATGAGCAGGGTGTGTACGTCGCCCTCAGCTGAGTGGGCTGCTTTCGGCTCTTCCTGGAAGTAGCGTCGGAAGAGGCTGCCCAGGCTGTAACCCTTGCAGCTCTGGGCCCGCGTGCCGTGGCTGTGAGCGTGGTCCAGGCCCCGCAGCGCAGGCAGTGTGTCCAGGCAGACGGTGTCCCGGGGCAGGCGGGCGCCCAGGCGCCGCAGCTCCGTGCACAGCAGGGGGAAGTCGTAATCAAAGCCGTTGTGGGCCACGAGGCAGATGGGGCTCTCCTGGCGGCTCAGGAAGGCCTGCAGCATCCGTACCACGGCGCTGTCGAAGCCGGCCTTCCCACACCGCGCCAGGCCCTCGCTGCTCAGGCCAGTGATCTCACTGGCCTTGGCGGTGAAGGGGCGCTCCGGGCTCATACACAGCGTGAGCTTGTCCAGGACCCGGGGCAGCACAGGGATGCCGAACTCATCACGCTCTGGGTTCTCCAGAGAGGAGCGGTGGACAGCAAACAGGGATATCTCAGCAATCTCGGGGTCCACACTGGGGAGCCCAGTGGCTTCCAGGTCCAGGAAGACAAAGGTCTCTGCCCGGGGCACCTCGGACATCGTGATGTTCTCACAGGGACAGCAATGCCTAAAGCTGTCAGAGAAAGAGACACAAAGCCTGAAAGCCAAGATGGGGACACCTGGGCCTGACCACCCATAGCCATTCCCACAGCCAAGGCTCCAAAGCCCTCTGGTTCACTTCCTGCCACCCCTATCCCACCTCATGGGACTTTAGGCTCTAGGAGCAGTTTCTAAGACCCACCTTCAGAGAGGCTGCTAAGGGGTCTCCAGAGCTGGGACCCAGTGACCAGGGCCTATTACTTCTGTCCAGGATGAAGCCTCCCAGGGTTCGTCACTCCCTCCATTCTGTCCCCCAGTCCCTCCCTGGCCATCCCCACTACTACCACCTAGTAAACAGCAAAAGGAAGGCCTGATGTGCCCAGACCCCAGCCTGGAGGCCTCTGCCTCCTGCCTCCAGGTACATGGAGGGGAAGTGTGCCAGGTCCATGTCATCAGGGACTTGGGGGTCGGGGTGCAGCCCAGGATGGTAGCTTTATCAAGACATCTTGGCTGGGAGCCTCAGGCATAGCACCCCATGTCTGCACCCCTGGGGTTGGCTGCCAGGAGAGAGGCGTCCAGACACCTGAGAAGGCCCTCACGGTGATCCCTGGCCTCCCCAGCTCAGCCTCCCCGCACCTTCTCCCTGGCACACAGGTGCTGGCCCCAACCCGGCCTCCACCTGCCTCCCGGCTCCCAGCAGCAGTCCTCACCAACCCTGCCACACTAGCTTACCTGCGGCAGGCGCTGGCCGGCTTCCTGGGCTGCTGGGCACCTGTCTCCGCACAGGCTGCTCCAGGCAGCCTTTAATCAGCGGCTGTGGCCCGCCCCCAACCGCCTGTTGGGCAACAAGGCCGCCTGAGGCCGCAGGACCTGTGCAGCCGGCTCGCCGCCGCCCCCTCGCTCACTCACAGCCACTGCGACACACGCCCTGCGTTTACAGACTGGAAAACAGGCTCCCAGGCTGCGGGCTGGCTCCCGATGAGCGTGGCTTGAGCTGAAGGAACATGTCATCACAGGCCCGAGGAAGAAGCCCGAGGCCTCTGCCCAGCCCTGCCTCCAAGCCCCACCAGGGTCAGGCCACAGCAGCTGGGCCTGGTCCACCTGGGTCCGACACCCAGCCTCACGCTTGGGCACCTTCCACAAAGGCAACTAGTCCTCAGGGCGCGGCTCCCTGCCACAGGGACCCGGCTGCCCCTCATGACGCTCAAGTGAGCTCAGGAGCGGGAAAGCGTTGGTCCAGCCGCCTTGCGGGCTCCACTTTCACTAGGAAGGGGAGATAGTATCTGCTTCACAGGTATAATGACCCACAATATCTAAGGAGACTGGAGCATAGGTGCCGGGAAGGAGGAAGGGAGGAGTGAGGGCTGCACAGCGTGTGGGCTTCGGCTGAGCCAATCCTTGCCTTCCGAAGGACAAGCAACGTGAGGGGCGGGGGTAGGAGACCGCGGGTGCAAGAGTGAAGCCCAGCCCCTCCAGCCTGTTTAGGGGCCTATCCAGCCCACCAGGCACAGTCAAGATGGGAGGGAAGCCAGAAGGCCCTCCCTGGTCCAGCAAGCAGGTGGCATCGCCCTAAGGACCTCATTCTGAAGCAAGACATGCCAGCACTCAGTGGAGAGTGCCTGCAGGCCCAGCCTCCGGCGGGGGCACAGAGAGGCAACCAAGATGCTGGATGCAGCCTGCCTGCTGCAGGCCCACCTGAGTCCCTCGGCCTGTAAAACTGTTGGCACACCTGGACAGCGGTGACCTTCAGTCTGTCTGTTCTGCCACCTCCCAAGCAGCCATCTGGGGGATGCCCCAGGCAGGCAACCAGGGCTAGGGGCTCTGGCAGCCTGGGGGAGAGGGGGCCTGATGCCCAGCTCCCAGAAGCCTCCTTGTCTGGAGCACCCACAGGAGACTTGGGGAAGCGAAGGAGCAGGGCAGAGCAGGTACAAGTGAGGTTGGTGGCCAGGGTGGGCCAAGCATTTAGAGGGAGACACCTCCCCCACCCCCCTGGGCCTGTCGCACCTGTTCCCAAGCTTGAAGAGAGGGAGGTGGCTGTGACAGGTGCACTGCTCAGAGAGATACTGGGTCACCCCGGGAAGGCCAGAAAGTAGCTTCCTGGACAACCAGTCAGGCCACCAGCAAGAATTCCCCAGGCTGGTGCCGGAAGCCCTGGAGAGGAAGAAGGGAACACACACCCTGCCCACCCACCAGATCCCAGAGACAGTGGGCGCCAGTGGCCTGGCTGAGGGACTGTGAGGAGTTCTCACATGGGACCCCGAGGCCAGTCACAGGGGAGGAGAGAGCAGGGCAGAGGGCAGGCTCTGGTCACATGTGGCCAGGTATCACAGCAAGGTGGAGACTTCTGGAGCTTGGCATCTGGCAGGGGAAGGAGTGCCCAGAGCAGACAGGGCAGGAGAGGTGCAGGGCCCAGGCCCCGTAGGACAGCAGGAGGTCCTCAGCCAGGCGCACCCAGGCCTAAGGACAGCCAGGATGAGAAGGAGGAGGACGAAGCAGCGGGGCACTACGGCTCCCCCAGCCCAGGCAAGACAGCAGAGGGAAGGAGGCAGTCACTTGGAGCCGTGGAAGCAAAAAGCAGGCTGGAGGCAACTTCGCAGCACCTGGTTTCCTTTCTCTCCAGCTCACACCACCCTGCCCCACCTCTGCCCCCTGACTCCTTCCACCTCCCAAGGAGCCGAAGGCGCCAGGCATTTGGAGGCTGTGCCCAAAGAACACGGGGGCTGTAACTGCTTCTCCTGATGCTGGCTCGGCCCTTCCCGGCTGCCTGTATCTCTGGGTCGGAGCCTCCTGCTCCCAGCCAACTCTGTGCCTTTGTGCAAACCGGCATCGAAGATCTTGTATTTCTGGGTTAGTTCTTCCATTTTGGTGGCTGCAGAGAAAAGAAAAACGTCACCAGCAAAGTGAGTCTAGCGCTTCCTGGCCGAGAAGCAGCAGCTCCCCTCCCGCCCCCAGCCAGGCACGCCCTTCACCGGCTCTCCTCAGGCCCTGGGCACCCCTGCACCTGGCCCTCAAGGGGCTTGCAGCCTGGGGGCCTGACTCCGACTGTGACCCAGAAACTGCCTGAGCCAGGAGCTGCTGAGGGGCCACACTCACCTGCCCACCCCCTACCCCCGAGCCCAAGAGCTGGGGGCTGTTCTGATTTTGACAGTGTGTTCAGTTTTAATTAGACCAGTAACCTGCACACCCAAACAAATCCAATGACATGGGTCTTAGCTGTTCACCCCACCCTGCAGGCAAGTGCTGCCTGGCTTTCAGGGTTGACGGGACATCACCATAACATGCACCTGCCTCTGGAGGTACCAAGTTCAGATAATGGCCATGGGGCACAGAACGCGTGGACTTGAGCTCCCTCCCCCCAGCCCCCACCCTCAGGGGCAGGGCTCTTCTTTTGGGTTCCTTGGCAGCGGTGCCTTAACTTTAGCAGACACCTAGTCCTTCATCCACCAACTTGCCTCCCTCCCTCCGGGTGGTCCTCTCCCCTCCCATATGGCCAACTCATTAACTGGCATGTGGTCCTGCCCATCCCAAGGATGACTGAAGCTCAGGAATCATGGGGTGTGCCTTGGGGTGACGGGCCTCAGGGCGGACTCCTTGCAGAGCTGGGCCCGAGCTCAGCCCACCCAGGCCCAGCCCCAATGAGCCTCCCCTCTGGCCATCAAAGCTCCCGCTGGGGTTGGTTTAGCATGCTTGCCGCCTCCATCGCATTTCTCCACAGATGGGGTTTGCCTAGGTTCCTTTGGGTGTCACCTGCCTTTACGAATCATCAGGTTTTCCCAGCCTCCAGGCCCCCTCCAGCCCCACTCCACTTCTGGGGCTGCCCCCGCCCTGGGTGCTTTGTCAGCTCACTTGTCTCCCTTCATCCTGGGCTCATCTCTACCTACTTGGCTCAGAGCTTGGCTGGGTCTCAGGTCCTAGTCTGGAAGCCCCCGGCCCCCCAAACATTCGAGGCATTACCCTCTGGAGGCTGTGGGCTCTCTGCTACTCTGGACTTCAGGAGGCTGGGTCTGGGGGTGCGTCCTTTGGGTTCCATCTGCTCTGCACCCGGAATCTGGAGACGTCTCCTCAGCTCCGTACACCTGTCTTTCACTGGTCACCCCCGCCTCCATCTTCCCTCCTCTCTCTGGAGAGCCTGGGAGCCGCCAGGACCAGCCTCTGCACCACTTCTCTTCGTCCTCATTTTACTTGTCTCTTTTCTCTCTATTCTTAGATTTGTTGCCTCATTTTGCTTTCTACTCTTTCTCTTGATTTTTTCAACACTTTGGCAACTGTTTTTAACTTCTAAGAGCGTTTGCTTGTTTTTCTCTGTCGGTTTTTCATAGTTTTCTAGGTATGTTTGGACATGATACTGACTATGTCAATTCAAGTTTGTTGGAAAGTTCTCTGAATGCCACATTTGCCCTGCTTTTCTAGGTCTTTCTTCTCCCTTCCATGGTGCTGATCCAGGTTGGGGAGAAGTGGTCTGGGCAGCTGGCACACCGGCCCTGCCCTGCTCTGTCGGAGTCGTCTGTTTCCTGCAGGGCCCCCTTCCAGGAGCTCAGCAGGCAGGCACCAGCCCTCGTGCCACGGAACCTCAGAGGCCAGAAAAGAGGTGGGCTTCCCGCGGGCCACCAGCCACACAAGGAGCCTGGGTGTGCCATTCACGTCAATTGTTTTCTTCACAAGAGAGCAGGCTAGGGTCTCACTGGGAGCACCAATCCGTACACACCTGCTGTGCTTGTGCCCTCTGCCTCTGGCCCATCCGCCACTGCCCTCTCCCTAGGGCTGCCAGCCACATGGCCCTGGGACTGTGACAGTTCCACCAGGCAGACTGGCTCCTCCGCTGCTCGCTCAGGCTGTCCTCTTGGCTGTGGCTTTCTCCATTCATTGTATCCAGTAAGTTGCTCCCATCCACTCTCTAGGTTCCAGAAACCTGTGATCATCTTTCCACGTCAGTGCCATCAACTCCCCTTCAGCACTGAGGGGGTTGCTTCGTTTTCAAAATGCATCAATATTTTCATGGTACTGGGGTCTCTAGAGGCCTGGGAGGCAAATGGGGCTTCAGGTCCACCCAATCAAGATGGTGACTGGTGAATGACAATGGGATGAGCTGGCCACCCACGTCGCCAAGGCCCTCCTTGTGCACTCGAGGCCCAGGCTCTGAACACAGGCCCAGGAGGCACAACCAGCCCCTCACACCAAGTCCCTCACTTCAGATGTGGGGACATGCGACCAACACAGCCTGGCTACTGGCACCCAGATTGGTGGCCTAGCTTCTTATTCCGGGAGGGGAAGTAGCACAGACTCACAGACCTTCAACAGTGGAAGGGCTTGAGGAGGTTGGTCATGGAGACCAAGGCCCTCCATTTGCTAGGTGGGAACAAGGGAAGTGCAAAGGCCGTTCCGATTGGCCCTTGGTGTGGAGTTGGCATGGATCGCTTCTCTGGCAGGTCTACAGCCCAAGAACTCATCTCAAACAAAATCCAGAAGCTGCATTGACAGCAGCAGTGCCGGAGGGCTGGTGAGGCCAGCTGCCCCCACAGGCCCTGCCCGCTCTGAGCAGAAGGCAGCCACCACCATTTGGGGTACGCTTTCCCTTGCGACCCTCCAGACCCACGGAGGCGGCTGGGAGCTCCAGGGCAAGCAGGTGCTTCTCTGCACGCAGAGCACAGAGGGGCAGAGGTGGGGAGGGAGCAGTTCCCAGAGCCTAGACGTAAACTGCCTGTCTAAAGGTAAGACTTGCCAGCAGTGCTGTGATCACAGGTGAGACGGCACACGGTGAAGCCCATTGACGACCATTACTATACTAACGATAACATGGATTACAAGCATTTTACTAACAGCAATTATATACACTGGGGGTGAGAGTCACAATGACAGTGGTGATCAGAATAAACGTTATGATAAATTTTAGAATCGAGGATTCTGTTGCAGCTCAATCAGAAAAAGAGACTCCTGAGTGCCAGGTCTACATGTGGCAAGTGTGTGTGCCAAAGCCAAGAGCAGCGAGAAAGCTGGCCGCCCGAGGAGAGGGCTGGCTGGAGAGTCCCCACAAGGACAGCCCTCCGAAGGGAGGCCGCAAAGCTCTGTGACCTAAAGGCACTCCTTGGGGCTGCACTGGGGGGACACACTCACAGGTAAATGCGTTAGTTGCTGCTGCTGAGGCGGAGGACAAGAGGTGGGGCAGACAACAGACGAACCAAAAAGGGGGGCAGGAGAGGCTGGGGCTGAGACGCCCGCAAGGGCTGTGCAAAGCTCCGCCTGTCCTGGGACTCGCAAAGGCCCCGCGCACGCCTGGTGCTGTGCAGACGCCGGCAGAGGCCTGAGTAGGCCCTGAGCCGTTGCCTCTGGCTGACCTTGAGGCTGAGAGCAAGCAGGAAGTGAAGGGGAAGGAAGAGTCGTCAACTGTCTGGGCGGGTGTTGATGAGAAACATGAAGCTACCCATCCCAGAAGCTCAAAAAACTCCAAATGGGAGAAACTCAAAGCAATCCACACAGACGTATTATAATCAAACTGTCAAAAGCCAAAGCCCCAGAGGATCTTGGAAGGAGGAGAGGAAAGGGACTAGTTCCAATGGCCCGCAAAGTCTTAAACAGCTGTCACCTGGCCCTTTACGCAGAAAGTTTGCCGACCTCAGCTACATGCAGTGAAAATGAACAAGTTACAGACATATAAGTGGTAGACAAACCTCAGAGACGTAATTGTCACCACATCAGAAGAGCAGTTAGCGGGGGCAGGAGGAGGCATGTGGGGCTGCCCAGGGGGCTAGGCAGGTCCTATTTCTTGGCCTGGGTCGTGGTTACACAGCCTTCGCTTTAAAATCATTTGAAATGATGAAAGGGGGCTTGCAGTGGCACAGCGAAAATCTCCAACTATTTCATGATTCTATCCCTGGGAATTGAGACTCCTCCCTAAAGGCTATTTTTCTTTTTTTAAAAAAAATCTTGTCTGAAAGTCTATTCCCTTAATAAAAAATAAACTTACTCAAAAAAAAGGATAAATAAGAACTAAAGTCAGACACAGTTCTGCCCCATCCAATAGCGGAAATGTGGGAGGGATCAAACCCAGCCCTGAGGCGGCTCCAGGGAGACGGCCACTGGCCGGCCCTACAAGCAGTGATGAGCTGATGGCGTGGGGAACCCCGTCCTAAGGGCGCAGTCTCAGACGGGAACGTGCTTCATTGTCTAAACATGTTCACTGCACCCTTTCGTAAAGACTGACAATCGGGGGGCGGGCACCTAAGTAATACATGTTCACTGGGGAACATCTGAAGACCACAGAGCAGGACGAAGAACACAAGATGAACAAAGCGCCTCTGATTCCAACACAGAGGAAATCACCACCTCCGCGCTGGCTCGCTGCGGCAGGGGCTCCCCCAGTTTCCTCCTTTAGGACGGCAAGATCAGACCGCGAACTCCAACCTGCACTTTCCCTTTGACATTCCGTAACATGCACTTCCTCACATCATCAGAACCAACTTCTGAAACAACAAATACGACCTTGCCATACACATAACACCAGTCTTTACCCAAGCCTTACCCAACGGGAAAACTGTGGGTTGTTTCCATTTTTCACTATTGCAAATCCTGCGACAGAATTATGCAGAATAGTAAAAAACAGAAAATGACCTATGGCTCAGTAATAGAAAACGTTCAGCAAATTATAGCAAACTAAAAACGTTACCTCAAGAACATGGGAAAATGCTTGAAATGAGGTCCAAGACAAAGAACATAAAAGTGCACATGTTGTGATGACAGAACTTATACAAAGAAATAAAAAATGAGAGGAAAGAGAATAGAGGGAAATGGACCAAAACCTTCACCCCGACCGTCTCTGGGCCACCAGGTTATAGACTTTTTATTTGACTTCTGTACGTCTTTGGGTTACCCCAATTTTCTATAATTAATATTTTTATCTTATAATGTCAAAAACATTTTTTCAAGGGAAAAAGAATGAAGTAAAGGACCAGTCCCCAAATGCTCCCCAAATGCTGGTAGAGCACAGAAGGAGCCCACGCATGAGACAGGCACTAAGCCAAGGCGCACTGGGACAGCCCCGGCCCTGACCACAGAGGCGGCGACCACATACCTAGACTCATCCCAGAGCTGCTGCCCCAAAAGATCTGCTCACCCTGCTGCTGCTTCACCATCTCCATGGCTTCCGCCCAGGTGCCAGTGACCTCCGTGACCGCTTTCAACAGCTGGGAGCAAGGGAGGGAGGAAGAGGCTGTGTGGACATTAAATGCTGGTGGTCTGACCCACAGAAAGCGTCTCCTCCTTCCCACACAGGTTCCCACTGAGCCTTTGACCATGTGACATTCACCCCCAAGGACAGTCCACGCACGGTGAGGGCAGGACTCCTAGCTAGCTGGCGAGTCACCAATCAGAGTTCTCCAACCTAACTCCCTCCTAGCCCAGCGGGGATGCCACACTGTCACATGCCCATCCCACACTGGTAGCCAAGCAAAGTCAGTGGCATGATGGGAAAATGGATGTTCCAAGATAAAAGGGCCTTTCTGATGGGAGAAGACTGTACCCTAACTTGCCCTGCTGGTAAATCGCAAAGGACAGGCTGGTCAGGGTTTGGAAGCCCAGGAGCTTTTCTGTTAAAAAACCACGACAAACATCGTGGAAGCCCTGAGCCAATGTCAGAGGTCCACATGTGGCAACTGTACTCATAACCATAACCAAACCCAGCGTGGGGGCCTCAGGGGGGCATCAACATCAGCCCTCATCCCCTCCATGACACCAGGAGAAGTGCCTGCCCCTAGCTGCCCGAGGTCCCAGGGTGAGGGCCAGAGCCCAGAGGCCATAGCCCACCGGTGCTACCCACTTGCAGGGAGTCTGGGCCAAGCCCCTCCCAGTCCCATCCCAGCCCTTGGGTCCCTTGCTGGGGGCTGCAGTGACAGCTGAGAGGGAGGGGGAGAGGGAGAGGAGAGGATGAGTCTTACCTGGTTGCACGATGTCAGAGCCTGGTACACGGCCCGGACGATGGGGCCACATGGGTGGAGGTAGGGACCTGGGCGCCGGCAGCACTCAGCCAGCTCATCGTCGTAGACTTGGAGGAAAGCCACGATGAGCTGGTGGAAGTCAGAGATGACCAGGCGCAGCTTCTGGTCCAGGGTGCTGGCGTCAGCCCCGCTCACCTCGGCCCCTTGCTTGTGCTGCACAAAGCACGGCAAAGCCAGAGGTGGAGAGTCCCTCAAGGTTGCCCTTCCTGTCCCTGTGGCACCAGCTCCCTAACCCTCTTCAAGGGGCAGGGTCTGCTGGCCATGCCATGCTTTCGCAAACCAGGAGACATAAGACCAGAGACAGAAAAGAGCAACTCGGCTTTGAACTGCCTGTGTCAGCCTCCGTCTCCTCCTCAGGAAAATAAGGATGCCAGGCCAAGGGCTGCTGGGAGAGCCAGAAGCAAGAAAGCGCGGGAAAGCCCAGAGCTTGGGGCCTGGTGCACAGCCTGGCCCAGGCCGATCCTTTCTGTTCTTCGGAAAGCCTCCAGGCTCCTGGCCAGAGCCTGTCTGCCCTTCATGCGGGCTGACACCCATCACACTGTAGAACCCGTCGGGCCCTGCACACACACCACCTCACTTATGCCTCATGACATACCCATTGTAAAGATGGGGCACCTGAGGCTGGAGGAGGTGACGTTCTTTGCCCTAGGACATACACCGGAGTCCCTGCAGGCAGGCCCTCGTCTCCAAGCTCTGTAGCCCCCCACGTGCTGGTGCCCTCACCTCTACCCTGAGTGCCTGCAGCTTAACAGTGCTCTCCTGCAGCTGCCTGACCAGCTCCACCACCTTCTCCTCCGACTCAACAGAGGGGCTGACCCTGCAGGGAGAGAAGGGGGGACACTTCCAGCTCTGTGCCATCACGAGCTTTGGGGCACCTACGGGTCACACGTGGAAGGGTGTGCCCCAGGTACCAGAACCAAGCAGGGCACGTACCTCTGCCAATCGTCACTTTGCTCGTCAAGGAGAGGCTGCATGTCCAGGGGCCACGGGTCACACTCGGGGCTCAGGAGCATCTGCAGGTGGGGGCTGGAGAAGAGCTCCCCCAGCAGCACCTCATTTTTCTCCCTGGTGTCTTCAAAGTGCTCCCTCGCACTGCAAAGACAGCCCCAGGGCCATGCTGTCATGGGACAGAGCACAGCCTCCGGGGACCAAGCCAGCAGCCTAGCTGAGGCCCCTGGTGAGGGAGCTCTCAGTCCCATAGGGGAGACCCAAGAAGCAAAACAAGACTGGGTGGAGAGGCCGAGCGAAGGTGCCTCCTCCAGGCCCTGTATGCTTCGGCAGCCAGAGCCGAGCCCGCTGGAAGAGCCCGTCCGCCTGCAGGGCCCCAGCACCACACCTGCACACAGACAGCTCCTGGGCCAGTAGGCAGCTGCTGCCACCACAGCGAGGAATAAAACCCCAGCTGGAGATGTGCCTGGTGGCAGGCCGAGGTGCCCAGCAGGCCCCCTACCCCCCCCCAGCTCCAGCCAGAGGACCAAGGGCACCCGCCACCTGTTGTATGGAGGGCCCATCCCAAGCCTTCACCTGGAACATCCGATGGTCAAGCTCCGGATCACGTCCAGCAGCTGGTCCAGGAAGTACAGCTGCTTCTGGGCACAAGCCCGGCCCTGGGCAGGGAAAGCCAGATGCATCCACTGGCCAGGCATGCCAGGTGCCCCTGCCCGACATCCTACCCTGCTGGGGCTAGTGAAAAGGAGGGGCCTGAGCCGACAGCTCCTTGGTCCCTGCCCAGCAGCATCTAGGACTGACTGGGGGACTGTGGCCTCAGGGGCTGCCACCAATGAGCGCTCCCTGCCCGAGCCCAGCCCCGGGCTGCAATGATGCCTGGGACCACTCTCTGGAAAGTGGCAAGTACCACAGAAATAGATGGGAGCGTGTGCTCATCACACATCCTACAGCACCGCCTCTTGGGTGGGAATGCGGAGCACGGCAGAGCCGGCTGAAGGCAGAACACAGCCCACAGGGACCCGATGGTGGCCCGTTCCACAGGAACACCTCCAGGAGGAGGCCTGTTCTTGGCAATCCACCCTCCGCAGCCAGGAATGGACAAAGCTGACCAGCACAGCAAGACGAGGCCATGCAGGGGGACTGCACCGACCGTGCTCCTCTCCAAAGGGGCTGCCTGGCCAAGAGCTGAAGGGTTCAGAACTACAGCTCCCTTCTCCTTCCAGAAAGTGGAGGAGGCTCGCAGCCGATCCCCAGGACCCAAACACTAATGACCTGAGAGGGCTAGCCTGCTCAAGAGAGGCCCGTGTGAGCAGGGGTGCTGGAAAGAAAGCTGGGCCTCTCTCTCCACTTTAGCCCCTCGGTGCCCCTGCCCTGACACATCCCCTATTCCGAGAAACGTACCAGAATGACTCACTCAGCCAGCCTTGCTGGCACCTTAACTATAAAACCCTCCAAGAAGCATCTGCACTTAAAGTGTGCGTGGAAGGCACAAGCTGAAGTGAAAGGGCCAAGAGGCTCCTAGTGGCATTTCAGGCCAGGTAGCCCTGGGTAGGGAGAAGACTTGGGGAAAGGAGTGCGCTCTGCTATAATGTTTGCAGCTTGGTTCCCTGTCCACAGGTGCTGGGCCTCATGGCTACAGCTGCCTGGCACTCCCGGCAAACCTGGCTCTTGGCTGTGTGGCCACATCAACAAGACCAGTGTCTCTGGAAGCTTCTGACATCTCCATCTCCATGCCCTCAGCCTGCCACTGGCTGCATGGGCCTCATCACTACCTCCTGTTGACTCATCCTCCCCTTCTGCCCAAGGCGCTCTAAGCCTGAGTGACACACTTCAAGGGCAGCCTGGGAGCAGGAGGGGGGGTATGGGACACTGTCAACTCAGGGGACAGCCCAGACAGAAACATGAGAGCAGCTGTCACTCAGGATCTCACAAAGCCTTGACCAGTGGCCACGGCTGGGACACCCTGCCTGCTGTCCCCTCCTCAGCATAGATTCAGCTCCGATAGCGCCCCCCTCCCCATGCCCAGGAAGGGGTAGGTGCCCCTGCTCAGGGCTCTGCCAACCATGGGGTGGGGCTGGGACAGTGGCACTGACCCCACCAGGCAGTTCTGGGCTGAGCGACCCCCTGAGCTCCCCAGGCCACAGGCCCAGACCACAGAGGTCCTCTGTGGGTCATCAGGGCCCAGTCCCTCTAAGACCCAAGAGTCCCCACGCTGGACTGCAGCCACATCCCTGAAGCCCGTCCATAGCCTCTACTGGTCCAGGAGCAGCACAGGAGAGAGGCCTCATCCCATCTGTCTCCCCTCTGCTCCCTGGCAAAGGGCCTGACCCAACAAGGACACTTGGAAAGGTCTGCCGAGTGAATCCACGAAGCCCCAGACCTTTCCACGCTCCGGCTGGGACTCCCTCCCCTAGCTCCCACTCCAATCCCTCCAGCAGCAAACCCAGTGGGCCTGGCCCAATCTGGTTGCTTCCGCCTACTGTTGCCTCCACTACCACACCCTGCTAAGCTAGTACCCAAGGGCTGGGCACAGCTGCAGCCCGCCGACGGGTCTCTACCCAGCCACCTCTTTCACGCCATGGCCATGGTTGTCTCCACACTGCTTAAGGAAAACTCTAGTGACCACCCACTACAATGACAAGAGCACCCTAAGGCCTCCCCTGGCCTACCGCATCCCACATGGCCTGCCCCTGAGCTCTCCTCCAGCCAAACCAGCCCGCTGGCTATTTCTGGAACGGGCCAAGTACACGCCACCTCAGGGCTGTTCTCCGTTCTTTAGCCTGAAGCACTCCCTCAGATATGTTCTTTTCATTCAGCTGTGCTGGTATTTTTTACTGCAAAACAATGCACGCACCGTGAATTCCCCCTTTCTAAATGTACAGTTCAGTGGTTGTTGGCATAGTCCCAGAGCTGCGCAGCCATCGCCACTACGTAGGTCCAGGACATTTCCATCACCTCTAAAACAAACCCCATCCCCATTAGCCATCACTCCCCATAACCCCACCCCGGCCCCTGGCAGCCACTCATCTCCTTTCTGTCACTGCATTTGCCTCTTCCGGACCTGTCATAGAAATGGAATCATGCAATATGTGGTCTTTTGTGTCTGGCTTCTTTCACTCGGCATGTTTTCAAGGTCTATCCACATTGTAGCACGTATTGGTAATTTGTTCTTTTAACTGTTAATTAGTTTATCCATTTGCCAGTTGATGGAAATTTGGGTGGCTTCTATTTGGGGGCTAGCAAGTGTAATACTTCCTGTTCCTGTACAAATTTCCACGTGGACAGACGTTTTCAGCTCTCTTGGGGACAGAGCTCAGAGTGGAAGCACTGGGTCAGTCCACGCCGACTCTTTTGAGGGACCGCCTGACTGTCTCCCACAGCAGCTGCCCCGGTGCACATCCCTGCCTGCCGGTAGGAGGGCTCCGATCTCCTCATCCTCACTAGTGCTTCTTAGTTGCCTTTTTGTTAGTAGACATCCTAGTGTGTATGAAGCGGCATTTCATCAAGGTTTAGATTTGCATTTCCCTGATGACTAGTGATGGTGACTATCTTCATGCACTTATTGGCCATTTGTTTGGAGAAAAGTCTATTCAGATCCTTTGTCCATTTTTGAGTTGGGTTCTTTGTCTTTTCATTATTGAGTTGTAAGGGTTCTTTACAGATTCTGGATACTAGATCCTTACCAGCTATATGACTGACAAAGATTCTCTCTACTTTCTTAACAGTGACCTTTGAAGCACCAAAGTGTTTCATTTTAAGGAAATCCAACTCACCTATTTTTTCTTTTGTTGCTTGTGCTTCAAAATGATGACTTTTTAAAAGTATCGTTATAAACTCATGGATTTAAACATACATGAAGGGCCTCAGTCTACTGCACTCAATGTCCTTACAGTACAAGCATCGTCCCCACAACGTCCCCTCTTTGGCCAGTGAGGGCTTCTATTGCTAGCTGCCTCCTGAGTCCTTTGGACATGACCAGAGGTCTTGGATGGCTGCCTTGCTGTCTGGTGTGACAAGGTGTCCCTGATTCAACTGGTACATTTCCTGCCCCAAGCCTGTGTTACAACTGGGGTGTCACTGTTCTCAGCCTCTTCAGGGGACAAAGCAAAGCAATGCACATATATACATACACACACATATTTTTAGGTAAAATATATTAGGCGCTCATGCTGACATTCCCTATTCCAATTCCAAACTACATGGTTTGATTTTGACCAAACTTAATAATCTTACTCCCATATCTCCTTTCTCTTGTGCCCCGACTCCCAGTTCTCAATAATGCCAACGTAAATTCTTCTTTTGCTTTTATTTCTTATTCCTTAAAATGGAATGAAGTACTGATCCATGCTCCAACATGGATGGCGCCTGAGAGTATTGTGCCAAGTGAAGAAGCAAGTCACAAAAGGCCACACAGCGTGTGCCTCCATTGCTGTGGAACAGAGACAGGAGAGCAGGGATTGCCAGTGCCTGCTTCAAGGGCAGGGCACCTCCTTTTAGGGTGACGAAAATATTCCAGAACTAGACAGAGGTGATGGTTGTACAACATCAGGAATATAGTAAATGTCACTGAATTTTATGCTTTAAAATGGCTTAAAAATTGGGAAGATGGAGAAGAGAGTTCTGGAAATGGAAGGTGATGGTGGTTGCACAACACTGTGAATGTGCTTAATGTCACTGACTGTACACTTACACGTGGTTCAGATGGTAAATTTTATGTTGCATATTTTATCATAATAAAAACATGTTAAAAAAAAAAAGAGCAGGCTTCCCTCAGGGCCTGCCGGGAAATATTTGAAAAATGGTTAAAATAGTAAATTTTATACTATGTGCATTTTACCACAATAAAAAATTTTTAATAAAAACTAAGGGAAAGGTTACAGCTCCGGGTAAGATAGAGGGACCATCGTCCTCTCCCACCGAACGCCCACCCCTCAGAGCAGGCCAGAACACACGTGGCAGGCGTCTGCAGTCTCGGAAAAGTCATTGTGAGCAGGTGTGTCAGGGAGGCAGACCCGAAGCCGCAGTTTCCGCTCAGACGGGCAGTGATACACCGTGTTCTCTCCTCCACTCTCCCCAGCCCTGCACTCTGCTCAGCCCAAACTCAAAAGGGAGCATGGTGGTACAGATGGCAAGCTCCAGAAAAGGGAACCCTGAGCGCTCAGAGACACTGGGAGAAATCCTCGGCCTTTCTTCTCTCCCTCTTCTCTGTTCTCTCAGACCCCAGGCAATATCATGGCGGGAGTGGCAGCAGCAACAAAGGTGGAATGAACACTCTGAGGACAGGAGACCTTCCTCTCCATTCATGGAGCTATGGGGCCAAACCCTGTGACTGCTTCTTCTCCTCCATTCTCCTACAGCTGTGGTGCAGTCACAGACATGGGTGGTTTATGGCTGGAGGATGGAAAAGGAGAGCCCCTTTCCCCAGGAACCAGCGAGTATCAAAGAGATGACATGGAGGGAAGAGCTTGGGAAAGTGACCCGTAAATCCGTTTATGAACACCTGGGCTCACCCCAACCTGTGCAAGGGTGAATCTGGTCTTGGTGAGCATACCTAAGACTTCGATTACTAAACCAGGGGAGAGACCAGTGCTGCCCAGGTCCCAGCCAGACCACTGGGTGGCGCACATGCAGGACGGGCCTGAATAGCGGCACAAAGGCTGTGGAAATAGACCTGACGCTGGGACCACAGGCTAGAGAAGAGGGCTGGACTCGTAGCTTAAACTTAACCAGGTTAAGTGCCTGCTAAAACACAAATTATCAACATTCTCCATAAAATTTAACAAGACTCAGAGTCAAAGTAATAGTCAAAATGTCCAGGACGCAATCCAAAATTACTTGGCACATGAAGAACCATGAAAATCTGAACTTGCATGAAAAAAAGACAATCAACAGACACCAATGGCAAGATGGCACAGACACTAGAATTACTTGACAAATTTAAAGCAATCATTATAAAAAAGCTGAATAAGTAATAAACACTCTTGAAACAAAAGTTAAAATAGACAGCATCAGCAAAGAAACAGAAAATACTTTTTTTAAGAAACCACATGGAAATTTTAGAACAGGAAAACAGAATAACTAAAATAAAAAACTCACTGAGGGACTCAACAGCAAAATGGAGGGGACAGAGGAAAGAATCAGTGAACTTGAAAACAGATTAACAGAAACTATCCAATATGAGCGACAGAAAAAAGATTGAAAAAAAAATTAAGAGCCTCATAGATTTGTGGTACAATAACAAAAGGCTTACTGTGTGTGTCATACGAGGCCCAAAAAGAGAGGAGAAAAGCATGTAGGCTGAAAAAATATTTGAAGGAATAATGGCTGAAAACTTCCCAAGTCTGACAAAAGACACAAACTTACAGATTTGAGAAGCTGAACGAATCCAAACAGGACAAACTCAAAGAAATCTCCCCATAAATGTATAATCAAATTACTGAAAACTAATGGCAATGAACACGATTTCAAAGTAGCGGAAAAAAAACAACGTATGACCCATAGAGGGAAAATGATGCAAATGACTGCAGATTTCTCATTGGAATCCATGGAGAAAGAAGAAATTCCACCCCAGAATTCTGTATCAGTGAAAATATCCATCAATAATGAAGGGGAACTAGACATACTCAAATGAAATCTAAGAGAATTTGGAACTACTTCTAAAGGGAATTGCTAAAGGCAGTTCTTCAGACAGAAGTGAAATATTCCAAAAGGAAACTTGGTACGTCACAAATGAAGGAAGCATAGCATAAAGGACAAAACCACATGATCATCTCAGTAGATGCAGGGAAAACATTTGACAAAATCAAACACCCTTCATGATAAAAAACACTTAATCTAGGAATAGAACGGAACATCCTCAACCTGATAAAGAGCATCTGTGAAAAACCCACAGCTATCTTCAATGGTGAAAATCAGATGTTTTCCCTTCTTAGATGAGGAACAAGGGCAAGGATGCCCAGTCTTGCCACTTCTATTTAACATTACACTGAAGGTGCCAGCCAGAACATTTGGGCAAGAAAAAGAAATAAAAGGCATACAAATTGGAAAGGCAGACATAAATCTATATCTGTTTGCAGATGACACAATCTTTTATAGAGAAAATCCTAAGGAATCCACTAAAAAACTATTCAAACTAATAAACAAGTTTAGTGAGGTGGCAGGATACAAGAGCAATATGCAAAAATCAATTGTATTTCCACACACTAGCAATGAACAATACAAAAATGAAATTAAGAAAACAATTCTATTTACTGTACCACCATAAAGAATAAAATACTTAGGAATAAATTTAACAAAAGAAGTACAAGACTTGTACACTGAAAGCTACCAAACATCTTTGAAAGAAATGAAAGAAAACCTAAATAAATGGAAAGACAGCCTATGTTCATGGATAGGAAGATGTAACACTGTTGATGGCAATACTCCCCAAAGTGACCTACAGATTCAACGCAATCTTCATCAAAATCCCAGTTGGCTTTTTTGTAGAAATTGACAAGCTGATTCTAAAATTCATATGGAAATTCAAGGGACCCAGAATAGCTAAAACAATCTTAAAAAAGAGCACAGTTGGAGGATTTACACGTCACAACTTACTACAAAGCTACAGTAATCATGACAATGTAGTACTGGCATAAGGACAGACATATAGGTCAATGGAGTAGAATAGAGAATATAGAAATAAACCCTCACATTTACAGTTAGTTGATTTTCAACAAGGGTGCCAAAACAATTCAATGAGGAAAGAACAGCCTTTTCAATAAATGGTGCTGTGACAACCAGACAGCAACATGCAAAAGAATGAGGTTGGACGCACACATTACACCATACGTAAAACTAACTCTAAATGGATCAAAGACCTAAATGTAAGAGGTAAAATTATAAAACTCTTGGAAGAAAACATAGGTGCCAATCTTCACAGCTTTGAATTTGGTGATGGATTCTTAGATAGGACACCAAAAGCACAAACAATAAAAAGAAAATTAAATAAATTGGACTTCATCAAAACTAAAAACTTTTGTGCTCCAAAGGATACATCAAGAAAGTGAAAAGGCAATCCACAGAATGAGAGAAAATATTTGTAAATCAAATATCTGATGTGACTTGTATCCAGAATATATAAAGAATTCTTACAACTCAACAATAAAAAAACAACCCAAATAAAAAGTGGGCAAAAGAACTGAATAGAGACATTTCTCCTAATAAGATGCACAGATGGCCAATAAGAACATGAACAGCTGCTCAGCATCATTAGTCATCAGGGAAATGTAAATTAAAACCACAGTGAGATAGCCCTTCACACCCACCAGGATGGCTGGAATCAAAAAGATGGACAATAACAATGGTTGGTGAGGAAGTGGAGACATTGGACCCCTCAACGTTGCTGGTGGGAACATAAAATGGCGCAGCCACTTTGGAAAACAGTTTGGTGATTCCTCAAAAAGTTAAATGTAGAGTTATTACATGCCCCATCAACTCCACTCCTAGCTATATACCCAAGAGAAGCGAAAACACATCTTCAGTCAAAAACACATATGGGAACATTCATAGCAATGTTATTTATAATAGTCAAAATGTGGAAACATTTATTTCAAAATTTAAAAAAAAATTTAGAGTTTCTTTGATGCGGAGGTAAATTAGGGCCACCTCTGTACAGAAACTGGTGGCAGGGAGCAACTGGGGGAAAGGGTGTGGGCTCGGAAGCCAGGGCCTGGGGTTGAGCCCAGGTTCTGTCACTGGGTGACCTCCACTGTGAAATGGGGCTAAGACAAGTACCTACCGCCAAGGGTGGGTGTGACAGTTACTGGCATGTAAAGTACTTACTACAGTGCCAGTGTGTATGAAGTCATCGACCAAGGACAGGATGCACTCTCTTGTCCCTTTGGTCATCATAAGCCAGGGATGTTCCTTGGCCTCCTCAGCCACCCTCCCACCTCAGCCCTAGGGATGGCTGGAGTCTACCCAAGGGAATCCTATGGGTTCCTGCCACAGGGGGCTAAAGAGCAGGGGCTGGAGATGCTGGCTCCCAGGCCTCAGGCAAGAAACCCCTCCCATCCCCACCTCAGCCTCACCAAGGCCCCAGGCCCATGGGGACAGAGACGGCCCTCTCTTACCTTCAGGAGCTCCTGGTCATCCGGCCCACATAACATCAGCTCATGGCCTAATTTCACCATCTCTGTCAGAACACAAGGATCCTGTTACTGCAGACACTGTGCACCCAGAGGGTACACAAACATGCAGGGTGCCAAGCACTTCCCTGGGGAGGGTGCTCCTACTCCAGTGTAGGCAGGCCCAGTGCCCACGAGGCAGGGTCAGGCCGACAAGCAGGCAGGTGGACGACACATCCAGGTGTCAGGACTGCCTCTTGCTGAATGACCTGCACCGGGTCAGTGCCCCTCTCTGGGCGTCAGTTTCCTCGCCTGAAAATAAGGGGTTGCATCCCATGCTCTTCCATAGAGAACTCTGGCTTCTAGAGAAACCAGCCAACTACCTGAGGAACCAGCAGAGGTGAGAGAACCTCCCAAACATGCTGTGGGCTGCCCTTCCAGAGGTTGCCGGCAACACTAGGAGGTGGGCCTCAGCTCCATTTTACAGATTGGGAAACTCAGTCCTTTCAGGGTGCAGGAATTGCCCAGCCACATCTTCCAGGGTGCCCTGGGCGCTTCCTGAGTAACCATCTGGTATACAGAGAAAGGGCAGGGCTTGGAACCAGAAAGCCTGGGGTCAATGCCGGCTCTGCACCCCCCACCTAGCCCGGCGGCAACACCCTACCCCTCACAGGCATAATTCTGGCATCTAATTTGGAAGGGCTGGAGCAGGAAGCAAGCAGAGCGTTCACGTGAAAGCATCTGTAATCCTAGAAATGCTGTACAAATGCAGTTATAGCCCCAAGCACACCTGCTCTGCCCACAGCCCTTCACCCCAAATCCTTCTGTCCTCCCTGAGCCCTCTCTCACTTAGCCCACATCGAAGGCTCAGTGCTCCATCACTCCTCTCCCTGGCCTCCTTGCTGCCCGTCAGAGCTGCCTACCTCAGAACCTTCGCGCTCGCTACTCTCCCACCCCGGACACTCTTCTTCCTGCTATCTGCCAGGCTCGCTCCCTCCCTTCCTGCAAGTCTGTTTAACCCTGCGGCCTTCCTCAGCTGTCTGGTGTCAACAGTACCACCCTTCCCCCGGCCCACCCAGGCACCCCTCTGCCCTCCCCTGGCTTTCTGGATGGTGCTGCCTTCTTCATTTATCCCGTCTCTCCCAGCGCACAGAAGCTCTATGAGAGCAGCAGCACCAGCCCTGAGCCAGGACGGGGGGCACCACGGGCACTCCACAGACACTTGTCACATGAATTCAGGCATGCTCACCCCTTACTCGTCCCGGGTTCTACCACTTACACTCTTTAACAAGCATTCATGTCTACCACCTGCTCTGACACTCCGTGCACTCCCACGAGCAAGGGTGAGGTTATCACCCACACGTTACAGAAGAGGAAACTGAGGCTGCGAATGGCAAGGTCAAGGCTGTGACTGGGCTAAGGGCCAGGGCTGGCAGCTGTGCATGTGTGTACTGGAGGACTCAGGTGTGGTCTGACGGTCAGGCTCGCTCGGCCTTGACGTGGTCCCATCAGCAGGAAAGTGTTGGACATAATGGCGCCGGGGAGAAGGGCAGCATTTCTGGGCAGCCTGGGCCTGCCCGCAGACCAGCCCTGCAGGCTCCAAGACATGAAGACCTGTTCTTCTGGCCCACTTCAGCCTCGGGGACAAGTGTCCCCAAATAAGTGAATTGGCAGTGCCAGCTGGGCATGGAGCAGGACCCCAGGATCCAGTTCTCCCACCCTTTAGTGGGTGGGCCAAACGCAGGCCCATGGGAAATCTGACTTTTAGAGATACCGTTGTGAAGGGGAAGAGTTAGCCACCAACTTGAGGACTGCAACTTGCTCCCCTCACCTAATGTTCACTACTGGGTTAAGAGCAGTTTTTCCCAAGAAAAGATAGGAAAGAAGTGCCTACAAGACAGCCCTGATGCAGAGCTGCCCAGCATGCTCCCAGGAAAGCCACCTGTAGCCCCAGTGAGAAGAGGACAGACCACCGGAGACACTGGCAAGAAGCGCCATCTCTGCCCAGAGCACTTTGGTGGGCGGGCTGGCAGGGAGACACACCCTCGGCCTTGCTCACATGCCCCTACGAGAGGAGCTCTCCCACGCATCAAGAAGGGCTCACAGTATCCACGGCGTGTGCACCATCCAGAAGAAAACACCAGTCCAATGGGAAATTCACAACCGCTAAGGAGGCTGTGCACAAGCTCAGAACTGCCCAGAATCCACCACCCAGCTCCAAACTCCCGTAACACAGACCCACCTTGGATCTTCACCTCAGCCGGGGTCGCCTTCAGCGAGCTGAACTTGTCCTGCCAGGACGGACAGACCCTGCAGGGAAAGAGCAAAACCAGAGAGGCTTGAGCGGGCCACAGAGGCTCCCTCATGACCCCTCCCTACACACAATCTAAAAATTGGATGACTTGTGCATGTGCTAAACGCCACTGAAATGTTCACTTTACAACGGATAATTTTATGTGATATGAATTTCAAGACCATAAGTTATCAAGAAACAAAAACCAAAATATTGCTGAAAGTTTACCTAAGAAATGTGACTTTGAATATTGAAATTAAAATTCTCACAATAAAAAAAATGAAATGACTGCCCAAGAGGGAAAAACTGAATTCCTCAGATCTCCAAGCTCTTTCTCAGAAGGAACCAAGGGGCTGGCTTTTCTCTAAATCACGGGGCAGGTTTCTTTGCAGGATATCCAGTGAGGCCCTTCCTGCTCTGGCAGCCTTGCAGGCCCCGCCTGAGTCCCCCCTCTTCTCGTCACAGAGAGCTTTCTTCTCACCTGGCCACAGCACACCGAGTCCACTCCGGCTCATCCTGCGAAGCCCACAGCTGACAGCACTGGCTCCAGAAGGCAGCCACCTCGGCATTCCTCCATCACAGAGGGGCCTAGGCAATGTCCCTCTCAGACTGTGGGCTCACCGAGGCCAGGAGCTGGCTTTACGTCCTGTATTTCTGGGGTGGGCCCAAGCAGCAGCCAGTACGGAGAAGGGGGCCAGGGAGCATAAATGAACGAGTGACCACGGCCTCTTGCCACGGAATAATCTGCCATTAGTAAATGCCCACGCTTAGCTCTTTCAACAGAGCTGAGAAAAAGCATAAATCAGCAGGAGATACTGCTGCTCCAGCTCACAGCTTTCAGCCATTTGAGGGCTCCTAGTGTGATGGGCTCTGGGGTCACAGCCCCAGCCTCCCAGGTGGGGAGACGGTAATCCCAGCTGCCCCCCTTGGCCTGGTGGAGGCCTGGCTTTGATGACACCACACAGATAAACAGGACAGTGGCCACTTGAAAGCATCTCACCTTAAGACACTGAGCTGACAGGCAGAACTGTTTCCAGACACAGACCGCATCCAAAAGTAAGGGCCCCAAAACTCTGGCACGTGTCACAAGTACCACACGGCTCAGGCCTCCCGCTGGGTCTCCTCCAAGAGCGGGCAGGGTCTGAGCGCTGCAGTCCCAGCCCTGAGCTCCGGGCCCGGCACAGCACAGAGGCCATGGGAATGTCATTCCAGTTGCTGAGACCAACGCTTGCTTGCCAGGGAGCCCCAGGAGCTAGCTGCCATGGCAGGCCCTATCCATGTGAAGATAAAGAGGCTCTTTCCACTGGACAGCTAGGGCCGGACTCCACTCTGCCAGCGCAGTGTGGGGGCCAGGGCCCCAGCCCTAGGGATGTCCTGACTCAGCGTGGTGGGAAAGGGCACCGTGGCAGTCAGAGGTCTCACTGCTCCTTCCCCGGGGCCGTGCCTCCAAGACCTGCGTCCCAGGTCACACCTTCCATGACCATACTGGGGCCCTGGGAGCTAGCAGGGCCACCGCGGACCTGGGGCCCCACACTGTAGGACTACAGCAGAGAGCGGCTGGACCCAGCAGCCTCAGCTGCACCACCTGTCTTCGTGACTCATTACAGCAACCACTCACTCGGCCAAAGAGGGCCAGGGCACAAAGGGAAGGAGGAGAAGGAGCCCCCACCGGGTGAAATGTTAGGAGGCTGGCCCCTGGGCCCAGTTGCTGGGCAACATTCTCTCTCTCACAAGGCGCCAAGGAGCAGAGAGCACTCAGCGATCCAGCAGGCACAGGCTGGACCACAGCAAACCACTTCAAAACACTAAAGAACAAATCCACACAAGCTGAAGTGACCTCACTCAGAAAGGGCTTTCAATAAAGTTGATTTTCCTGAAGCAGCAGGGAGCAGGGCAGAAACCAATGGCGCTCAGAGCCTTGAAAGCAATTACAGCCCTTTGGGAGGCCAAGGAGACCACATGACTTGAATTCAGCCACCCAGGGGACCCTGTGGCTCAGCCCCAACCCCGCTGAGGGCCAACACTGGGGGCAGCTTCTGGGTTCCTCCCGGAGAGGGGTGAACAAGGTGGCCCTAAACGGAGGCCTGAAATGGTAAAGCCATGTGCAGAGAAAGCCAGCATGAAATTCGGGGGAAGCTGAATGCTGTCCAATCCTCTTCTCAGGCCCTTGAAAGGCCTACGGCACTTTTGCCAGCTTGGATCATAAAAAGCAAGCGTGCGTTCCCTGGCTGCTGCTTAAAAGGATTTGGTTTCCTATATCTGAAAGAAGTACTAAAAGCATTTGAGGAGCGCAGCCACAGACAGATCCCCCCCAGCTCTCTCTGGCCAGCAGAACAACCCAGTCCCCAGCTTCTGGGCTCCTTCCCTCGAGATCCTCTCCTGCTGGGAGCATGCTCAAGACCACCTACTAGCCTAGGGCACACCCACTACTGTCTCTCCTGCAGCTTCCTGGACTAGATGCTGGTCCCTCCAAGGCTCGCAGTAGCTGTCACGGGAGCCATCTGCCATCAATTCCCAGGGCTGATGAAACACCCTCCATGTTGGTCTCCCCATCTCCAGCCAAATCCATCTGCCACAGAACCCCTGAATCACCTTGCCAAAATGCCAATTTCGGTATGTCGCTCCCCCGGTCCCATGCTGATCCTGCCCAGAGCGCAAAGCCCCAAGGCCTTCACATGGCTCACAAGGCTCCACATGGGCTGCCCTGAGCTGCCAGCCAGGCCACCGCTGCCCAGCTCTCTCTCCCACACCTCAACTCCCCGCTCCTGTCGACACGAGCACCTACCATTCCCTGTGCCCTCCAAGATCAAATGCCACCTCCTCCCTGCCATCGTCCACAGCACTGAGCCTGCAGAGGTGTGTCTAACACTGGGATTTGTGTCTGCACCTTTTACAGCCACTTAAGGTCCAGTACCTTGAGGACACCCATCCGTGTCTGAGGTGCCTGGAGTGGCACACGGGTGCGCGTGTGTCCATGTACCTGCCTGTCTGCCCATAGCCTGGAGCATGTCTCGGGTATGCACAACATCATACTGTGGGCTGGGGCCGGTGGGGGAGGCCCACCCTTCTGCAGCTCCCAGTGCTTTGGAGAGCCCGAGAGGACAGCAGGTCAAGAGAGAACCAACGGGCTGAGGGCTCTGGCAGAGGTGCACTCAAAAGGTTATGGGTGTTCAGGGGAAGGAGGAATACATCTTGTCCTGGGAACTGGAGACTTTTTAAAAGGAGATGGGACATGTGAGCTGAGCCTTTGAAGGCTGTATAGGAGTATGTGTGACACGCAGAGACCTGAAGGGTATTTCCAGGAGGGAGAACAACATCAACAAGAACAAAGCTTATGAGAGCACTGGTGTGTCGAGGCCTGGGGTGAGGCCTGGGGAAGGGCCTGGAAGGCAGCAGGAGGGGCTGCTGGAAACGCAGAGGTTCAAACATGAAAACACCTCCTCCTTCCTCCCGGCAGTGCCTAGGACACCCAGCCCAGGGCCAGGTCTGCTGAGGTCCCATGGCCTGGCAAGTGCACCAGTTGGGTGCTGCTCCACCACCAGGCTCCTGCCCAGGCGTCTTCCTCAGCTGCAAGGGCAGACAGGTCAGGCTGAAGAGGGGCAGGTCCAGGCCTGGCCTCATGAGAGACTGCCATACTGACTGAGCACGGCCTCTCCAGGGAGGGCCCTGAGGGGTCTCTCCCAATAGCACGGGATCTGTGCTCCACAGAAGGCATGGGCAAGCCTTCCCCACTGGAGCCTTAAGACAGACATTCAGCTCAGGGGCTGCTGCTCCTAAGGAGCAGACATTCTGCAGGACTTTCTGGATCTTTCCCCTTGCCATCTGGGCAGGCATTGCTTCCCTTGCACTGTCCAAGCACAGACACCATGCCGCACCTTGACTTGAAGGACTGGGAACCGGGGTCTTAGGCCTGCTTATCACTCACTCCTTAGTGGGAAGGCCCGAGACAGTTAATGCCTGTAGCCTGACCCTCGGCTTCCCAGTCTGAAGATGAAAGGACTGCAGTCGATCACTTCTCAGGTCCCTGCCAGCTCTGAAACTAGGAGTTAAAGCAAGAAAAATGCTCCGAAGCCAAGCTCAGCACTTCTGCAAGGTAGCAAACAGACAGGCTGAAGCACTGCTGCGGGGGGGGGTGGGGGGGGGTGGGAGGCACTTCCACCCCAAACTTGAGCATGGCTCCAAAGCTGGCACCTCTTAACCTAAGTAGCTGTTCTCACAGTGCCCTGTGGTAGGGTATGGAGCCCCCTGGGAGGACAGCTACTTATACCAATAACAAACCCCACCCTCCTCCGGTGGGTTCAGTGGCACCCGGTGTACCCCCCGGGCGGGGAAGGAAGAAACAACGACATTACCGTGTACAGATCCACTCCAGGATTTCCAAGCGGTACTTCGAGGGGCTGCACAGCAGTTCCTGAATAGTCTTTGGCTCTGTGATGTAAAGACCCTCGAGGAAGGGGCAGTTGAGGTCCTAAGCAAGGAAAGGGAAAGCCAAGAAGCTCCAGAAAGCCCGCATCCCTGAAGGGCTGAAACGCACCTCTGCAATCGTGCTCTTGGTGCTCCTTCCTTCACACACGCCCCCTGCCGCCCAGCACACAAGGGGCTTGTCAGCGTTCACACGCTCCCCACCCCACTGTGCACGCCCGGCACACCCGCAGCGCTCTCCCTCCATCTGGCCCAGAGTTAAGTTGCCCTCATTCTCATCTCAGGCTGCCACCCCACCTCCTTCAAGTTTGGCCCCTCTGGGCTTCGTGTAGCAGTTTGACCTAGTAGCCACTAGGGGCTTTAGCGAGATTCCGATCCAGGCTCGCGGCTAGGGGACCATGGTTTCGGAAAGTGGGGGGAGAGGAGGGGAGGGGGCGAGGAGGGGACCAGGCGGGGGCGGGACGTGCGGGACCTGGGACAGCTACTAGACCTTGCGGGGCGGGTTTCCTCACCTCTGCCACCGCTGGCATCTGACGCCGACTCGACAGGGTGGCCCGGACTCGGCCCGCCCGTCTCCCCCTAGACTCCGCGAGCTCCTCGAGCCCGGGGCCTGGGCCCTCCCCGTCTTTGCACTTGCTTCGCGCGCCCGGGAGAGTTCCGTGCGACCCAAGTGATGGTGCAATACACGCTGGGCGCCGACGCGCACTGGCAGGCACGGGCCGTGGAGCCGGCAAGAGCGGAGGCCCCGGCCGCCCGCAGCGCTGAGACGGACGCCCAGCCAGCCGCGCCCGCGGCGGGGCACGGCCCGGAGCCGCGACAGGGGCCGCGCGCTGCCGCCAACTTCCGCTGCAGGCCCTGCCCGCCCTGCCACCCGGCCCCCGCCGCCCCAGGTGGCTCCCTGGGTCCGCGGCACCTTCAGCTTCGCGAACACCTCCACGGCCGCCTCGAACATGCCGTCGTCGCTCTCGTCCTCGCAGCAGCCGCAGGAGCCGCCGCCACGGCCGCCAGCGCCTAGCCCGGCCATGTTTCGCGCTTCCAGCCGCGCCCCGCCCACGCCGCGGACTCACTGGCCGGCCCGACTGCCAATCACGCGCAAGCCCCGCGATCCTCCCGCCCACCTGCCTGCGCGGGGCGGGGCGGGGCGGGGCGGGACCGGGCCCAGGGCTGGAGCGCGCGGCCGCGGCGGCCCCCCTCCCCCACCGCGCCTGCCCCTGAGGCCGCGGCTCCGCGCCTCGGCGCCGCCTGGGACGCCGGCCCGGGGAAGAGGGCGGGACGGAGCTGCCTCTCTGTCGCCCGTCTGGCCCGCGTCGCCCCTGCTGGCGGCGGGGCGCAGGGCGCGTCAGGGCGAGCCTCTTCCAGGAGAGGGCGCTCCTGCCTTGGTCGGGTTCTCCCCTGGAGGATGAAGAGGAGCCTTGGGCGCAGGACGGAACTGTGACTTGAGCCTCCCATCTCCCAGCACCGGGCTCTATCTCCTGTTTCCCACATGGCTGTAGTTAGAGGAAAGTTTCTTGAGTTCGAATCTAGCGTCACCACTCACTAACTGTGTGACTTTGGCCAGGTTACCTAACCTCTCTGTGCTTCCTTGCCCTCACCTAAGGGGGATAATGAGAGCACTTACCTCATTAAGTTGCTGTCAGGATGGAATGAGGTAATAATTCCTTTGAAATACCTAGGACAATGCCTGGCACATAAAAAGAACTATGTACATGTTCACTATTATTATGCTGGGTCCTCCTACTTCCCCCTCCCTCTCCCCCCCAGTCTGTCTGTCTTTGACCTTAGTGGAAGATTCTGTGGCTCTTTTCTGCCCTGTCCACTTACAAATTTCTTTGCATCTCTCAGGCCCCGCAAACTCAGTGCATCTGCAATGAAATTTGTCAGCCCGTCCTCCCCCAGACTTCCGAAGCCCCCAGTTCAGTGAAGGCCCCCATCCCTGGGGCCTGTGGATCAGATGAGGTAGGAGGGAGGCAGAGAGCGGCTGGCGCCCAGGGAGTGGGGAGCCAGCGGCAGGCAGCTGCTGCCGGCCCTCCTCAGTCCCCTCCAGGGGCTATCCCTCCTCTGTGCCCTGCCCTGCCATCTCCTGAAGGGTAGGATCAGGGGTCAGGTCTAGAGGCGAGGAGACCTAGGGACCTGGCAGGAGGCAACTGCAGTCGTCTGAGTGTAGGTAGGAGTCTGGGCTAACAGGAAGGGACCCCAGCCCGGCCTTGTGAGGCAGAGCCTGATGCCCTCCCAAAGGAACGGATGGAATTCCAAGCTATTCTAAGGAACTGGAGCTGAAGGGACAGCCCCAGCCCGGGGGCCCAGGGGCCCAGTGATGTGCAAAGCACCTTAAGGCCCCCTCCTCCTTCCGACGTGGCTGCTGCCTTGGGCCCTTCTGGCAGCTGAAGTTGGGTTGTTTTTTTAAATCTTTTTTTTCTATTTTTGTTTTTCTTTCTTTTTAAAAAATTTCATTTCCATCACAGCCCCAGCTCAGACGTTCAAATTCTTGTGGGTTTTCCTGTGGATCTTTCCTAGGACTGGGGAATTTGGCGGGAGAAACCACGGCAGTGTGGTGGCCTCCCCCAGCCTCCCCATATCCTCACCAGCTCCTGTGTACTCTGGAAAATTCCCCTTCTCCACCCGGCCCGATGGAGCCAATACTCTAAGCAGCACTTCCCCCAACTCAGTAGCTCTGTCAGTGGCAGGGGGTGGGACATGGAGGGATTGCCAGGGCCCTGAGGGGAGAAGACCATCCTAAGGGGTCGTGGGATCCATCCTCCTCCACAGAGGCCCTGCTGGCCAGCCCTCAGCTCGTGGAGACGGCTGCCGAAGAGGCTGCAGCCTCCCTGTGCATGCCACCCCAAGTCGTGGCACCTCCCAGGCATCCTCCACCAGAAAGACCGGGAGCTGGGATGGGAACAGAGGCTGCTGGGCCTCTCAGGGTGGAGGGAGAAGAAAGGGCTGAGTGGTAGAAGCTTCTGGAAATGTGGACTCAAGCTCAATACAAGGAAGCACTTCTCCCGGAGAGCAATGTCGAAACACTAGCCGGCTGCCTGGAAAGGAAGGGAGCTCCCTGTCTTTGAGATGTGCAGGCCCCGGGAAATGGGTAAGGATGTGGAGGGGTGGATAGCTACAGTGAGGAAGGGGAGGACAGCTCTCTAGGGGCATTCCTGCCCAGGGCCCCTGGTTCTGTGAGGGAGGCCTGGGTGGGTCAGGGGTCAAAAATGGAGCTGAAGGACCCATCCACTTGGGAAGGGATGCAGCGGGATGGAGGGGCAGCAGAGACTGTGGGGCCCTGGGCAGACTTGGGCACCGCACTCAGCAAGAGCCAACGTCCTGATTGTGGGGGAAACTTGGCCATGGGTCCCAGCAGGGCCTCCACCATGTGTCAGGGCTTGGAAAACTGGTTGGAAAATGAGGCCAGTTGACAGGCCCTGACTCCACTGTGCCAGGGATGGGCTGGCAGGCTGTGGAGGCCGAGGCAGCCGGCCACATGAAGCCCCTCTCTTTGTGCACCTGGCGCAAAAATGTATAACCAAGCAAGTGGCTTCACCCAATGGCCTCCCCACCCTGGAGCAGCGGGCTGTAGGTGGAGCAGGGCATTGGGCAAGAGGAAGGGCCCCGAGAGTATCTCAGCCCCAATGTCCCAGCAGACCCCAGGGTACGGGGGAATCTTCACCTGAGTACCCCCCCGCCAACAAACATCGCCAATCAAAGGAAGCTGAAGTTCAAGGGTTTACCTCTCCAGCAAGGAAGAGAAGGCAGACTGGCTTCTGCTGCATCTGACAGGGGTTGAAGGCCTTGTTCCACAGGACCCCATCAACTCCTGCCACCGAAAGGGGGGAGCCTTTGAGGGATGCAGGCTCCCTCCGGTCGCCCCCACCCCTGCTTTCCCGCCCCCTGAGATTCCCCAGTAAGAAAAGGAGATCAAAGGATTCCTCACCACGTCCATCAGGTGGTGAGAACCAAATGCAGGCTCTTGAAGAAAAGGCAAGTGGGGAGTGTGTGTGTGCGCACACGTGAGACATTTCAGGGGAGACTTCAGTTATGGGATGAGAACCTTATCAGGTCCACGGGAGAAGTGGTGGTGCCTGGCATTGGATTTCAGGGAGAAATGAGACAGGCTAACAGGTAAGGCTGAGGATGGTCTGAATTCAAGACTCCCCAGGAGAAGCAAAGTGAGTGGGCTGTCTCCTCCTCTCCCTCCCTCTCCTCCCCAGACCTCTCTCATCTGCTCCCCACTGAGCTGCTACACTGGGCTGCTGATCACCCAGCCACCCAGGCACCCAGGTATTGCAGCTAGCCCACGCCGTCTGTGCCAGCCAGGAGCCCACTCAAAAACCATCTTCATGCACATGGGAGGAGTGGTGGAGAACATGAAAGTGGGGGACCCTTGCAAAGGAGAGGAGGAAGAGCCGAAACGCTGCAGAGATGCCAAACTTTAAAATGGGCAATCAGACTGGAAGGATTCCTAGCACAAAAATGATGCTTTCTCTCGGGTGGCTGTCATTCACCCATCACAAGGCCCTGGGGACTGGCCTGGCCAAACACACCCTACTGGAGTCGTGTAAGTCCAGAAGACTCCAGCGCCACCACCGTGGGCCTGACAGACATGGGCCTGCCACACGTGTGGGCTTGGGGGAGTCTAGTGGTCTCTAGGCCTAGCACTGGGCAGATGAGACTCAACCTAGGAGCTGACTGATGACTGCCAATTAATTCTAGAATGCTCTCATTCTAGGACTCTGCACCCACATTAAGAGTCTACTGGCACATGAGGATGCAGTGGCTGCCCTAGGACCTTGGCCTCCTCTTCCTGTCACTTCTGGTCCCTGTGCTGGGGCAGGGACCATAGCAACCCAAGGCAGGGGCAGCTGGAGAGCCAGCCCTTGAGAGAGGCAAATGGCTTCCCACCCATGGGAACCCTAGGCAGTGCCGCCCTCACACTCCCTCAAACGTGGCCCTGCCTGGGGACCCCTGCTTTAGGGCCCACCCTCACCTCCTGCTGTCACCGACGGGTACTTGGGGCCAACGGGACACCACCCCCTCCCAGGCCACAAGCTCCTGCAAGAGCAACTTTCCCACGTCCAGGACCCCAGTGGGATCCCAGCCCACTCCTAGGGGTCCATCCCCTCCCAGGGCGAATCTTGCTTCAGGCCCAAAGCATTTGTCGGGGTGTGGACCCAGCCAGGCCACGTGGGCAGAGGTGTACCCACGAGTGCGCTCCTGGCCCCAATGGAGCTAGGAGTGGGAACAGACACGGGGGAGGGGGAGAGGCCACAGCTGGGGTCTTCACTTGTCCTCTGGCCCCATGCCCCACAGATGGGGGGCAGGCTGGGCGCCTGGGGGCCGCTGGGTTCCCTGCTGTCGCCCTCGCGCTCCGGGTTTGCCGCGGTGGGGCGGGGGGAGGGGCAGGTGCCCGGCGCGGTGAGAGCTGGGCCGGGACGGCTGCGCGTGCACGCGGCGCAGGGGAGGAGGGGGCGCGCGCGGCTGCACGTGCGCGGGGGCTCAGCCTCCCCCGGGCGGCGGGAGAGGAAATGGCGGGCGGGACGGCCCCCTCCGCGGGGAGACACTCGGGTCTAGACGGCTTGGCAAGGCCGGCGAGGCTGAGTCACATGCGTCTGGAGCTGGAGACACGGGCGCCAGGACTGGAACATGAACGTGCCCGCTTGGGAGGGCTGGGCGGGGGAGGGGGCACTCAACCTCGCCTTGCCTGTCCTTGGCCCCCAGTTGAGCACGAGCCCCAGTTTCTGCTCAGCCTTTGTCCTCTGAGGCCCCTCCATGCCCACCTGGAGGGGCAGGGGCACCTTCCAAAGGGAGTCAAGTGGGGCCCACGTTACTGGCAGGAACCAACTGGGATTTTAGATGGGGAAAGAGGATGGGAAAGTGGCTGTCATGTGCTCCCATCCCGACCTTGGTCCTGTTCCCTCCACCCGGCCACATCCCAGCCACATGGGCCACCTGGGACCTTTTTGCCCCAAAGCTGCCCTTGCTGCACTCGGCCCCCTCCAGTCCACCTTCCCTCCACGCTCTCCAGGGACGGCCACACTCCAGCAGCTGAAGGCCTTGGCTCCTCTCCCCTGACCGCCAGTTCCCCTCACTACCCCCCACCTCATCCCCAGCCATCATTGTCCCATTTGGGGTTCTGGTTCCCCTTCCCTCCTTCTCCTTTCCCTGTCTCTGTTCCTGTCTGTCTGTCTCTCCCTCCCTCCGTTACTCACTCGCTTGCTCAGGAACGCCAGGTCCTGGGCACAGAAGCACGAGGCCTGAATCTGGATGGGCTGATGTCTTTAGTGCTCACAAAAGCGTCTGCAAGAAAAGTGTTTAATTGGGACCAGGTCCTCTGAGGTTTCAATGGCATTAAAATAAGATGGGTTTTTTCTAGGGAAGAAACTGCTGGCAACAGGAAGAGGGCATGCAAAGTTTGGCTTTTTTCTTCTCAAAGCTTGAAGAGGGCAAAGGCCGTGTGTACCTATATTTATATAAGAGAGATGCACGAACATGTGCCAGACAGACCCTCCCACACGACCCAGTGGGTAGACCCAGCATCTGTGTGCAGGTGTGCACGTGCTCACGCCTGCACACACACACACACGTGCACGCACACACTAGTTTTGATGTTACTTACTCTGGGAGGTCACCCCAAAGGTGTGTCTTTCGCTGCAGAGCCACTGTTCTGCCCTGGGACCTGGCAGAAGACCTAGTGTGTAGTAGGGCCTCCATGTACTTGTCAAGTGACAGATAGTGGGAGGGCAGGACTAGCAGCCCAGACCCTGGCCCTGAGCTCCAGATTCATACATGGAACTGCTTTCTAGATGTCACCGCTTGGCTGTCTAATCACCAACTGCACACCTGACACTCAGGAGCTGGACTCCCCAGCTTCTGCCCCAGGCTCTCTCAGCCCACATCATCCTGACTTCACCCACTCCACCACCTGCAGCCTCCACCCTGGGCCAGCCACAATCACCTCTCCCCTGGAGGGCGCAGCTGCCTCCACACTGACTCTGGCCTTCCACGCTTGTGCCCCCAACAAGTCTGTGTTCTACCCCGCAGCCCAAGGGATCCTTTTATAATGTAAGTGAGATCATGTGACTCCTCTGCCCAGAAGTCTGTGGTGGCTCCCTGATTCCTTCAAGGTCAAAGGCAAAGTCGGCCCACCACCCTTTGACGCCCTATCAAGCTGGCCCTCCTGCCCTTCCCCAGCCTCACCCCTCACTCAGCCTGCTCCACCACATGATCTCCTGGTTGGTTCTCAAATTGGGCCAAACCCTTTCCTTCCTCAGGGCCTTTGCACTGGCCCTCCCTCCTTTTTGGAGAGCTCTTTGCTAGAGCTCTTTTTTCCTGGCTATCTCTTCACTCATGTCTCCACCCAAATGTCACTTTCTCATAGTCCTCATCTGATTCCCTGTCAAAAATGTCCCTCCCTCTAGTCACCATAGCCAGCCCCTTTCCTTCTGATGGGATCCCTGTGAGCGCAGGGTAGCTGGCCGTGTGGTTCACTGCTGCACCACACACAGTGGCCGGCAGAGCAGCGCCTGGCCCACAGAAGGGGCTCAGGAATGTTCGGTGAGCTGACACTCTCTTCTCCAATCCTCCCTTGGTGGGAGGAGGACTCTCAGCTGTGCGGTCCTAAGGGGACTTGAGGGACAAAGAGCATGGCTTTGGCATCCTCAGAGCTGCCAGTTTGAGTCCCGACTTGTGAGGGTATGTGTGTGCTTGGGTGTGCACGCGTGTGTGGACAGTGGCCACGTGGAAGGGAAGGGCAGGAGAAGAAGGGGCAAGAGTCCCTTCCTTGCCCTTAGAATCCTGGGGTTGTGCAGCTAGGAGTGACCTTGATCCTCTCATACAGCTTATGTAGGCCCTTTCCAGCTCTCAGATTCTAGAACTTTCCAAGGAGCCCACATCCAGCACATTGAGATGGGGAGACTGAGGTCCTGAGCAGGGAAACTTGCTCCCAACATCACATGGCTGGTCCATCAAGGGCAGAGCTGGGAGCCCAAAACTCTTTCCAGCAACCCCCGGCTGCATCCCTGGTTCCTGGAAAATCCCAGCACCCCTCCCACCCTGCACTCCAGACACCGGGCTCAGGGTTAGTGTTGGCCAGGGGCCCTGCCTGTCTCAGCCCAAGTCCACGAGTGAGCTCTGCGTGCAGGAGGGGCGGGCTCAGGAGGGCACCTCTGGTTCTGCCAAGCCCCCAGCAGGCCGACTCTGCTCCATGGGGGCTCCTTCAAGGTCCCCACGATGGCCGGGCACCCTGAGACTGGACAGAGTAGGTCCACTGGGCCCCCAGTGGGGGGAAGGGCGGAGAGGACAGGACTCCATGGGAGCTGGGGAACTGAGAGTGCTCCAGTCCTCACCCCTTCCTGCCAAGGTGGGTAGGAGCGGGGGTCCCTCCCTCCTCCAGGCCGCTGTGCCAGAGAAACCTGGGAGCAAGCTTCCCCCACCCCCAGCCCGGCTAATGGGAACCAGATGGCAGGATGTTTAGTCAGCGCCTGGGGAGCGGCGCGAACAGGGGAAATGGGTCGGGGGCCAGGATTCCAGAATCCATCCCCAGGCAGGGGGAGGGTCAGAGCCAGGACTCCCACCACAGCCTATCTCCAGGGGCCCACCTCGGGCGGGTCCTTCCTCCTCCTCAGGCGATGCCTGGACTGGCGGCAGGAGGCAGGAGGCCTGGCCTCTGGCGTCTGACTCGGGCGAGCCCCACCCCCTCTTGGTTCCTTCTCTGTAGTTGGGGCGGTGGTGTTTGCTCAGTCTTCCAGGATCCCTGGGTAACCTCACCTCGGGCCTCCTGTGCCAAAGTGCTCCCCTCCCCCAGCTTCAGCAGAATGCCGGCCCAGGACATCCTGTGTTACCCACGGGCGCACAGGCAGACAGTGGCTTCATCCTTGGCTTCTAAGGTGCTTGCTCACGCTCATTCCCCAGACAGTCCCTGTCTCTGGTCTGTGTGTGGCATGGTCCCAAATTCAGGCCATAAACCAGAGCCCTGGATGGGATGGGGGAGGAGGGTGCCGGCAAACCCCATGTAGCTCATACTGGACTGTTACCTGGCATGGGGGCTCCGAGAAGGCAGCGACTCCCATGTCCCCGCCATACCCTGCATGCAATATATCTGGCACTCAGGACTCGGGCTGTTCCCTAGACCCGAGTGGGCACATGCTGAGGAACCCACTGAAGATCCACTTGCTGGGGACTCCTTGCCCTGCCCTGCTCCCACCCCCCTCCTGGGTCTCACACATTCCCCAGTGGCCCTGGACAGAGACCTTGAACCCCAGATGGCAACGGAGAGCTCCTTCCCGACAGCCCTTCCGGCCCCCTCCCCCGACTTCCCCTCTCCTCTCCACCCAAGCCTTGCCCACAATTAACTCATTTTTTGAGATCGCTTCCAAACATAAGTCAACGCTGGACAGAGCTGTAGGAAAACCTTCCTCAAGGCTGGCCCTGAAGAGCCTGTGGTGAGGCTGGGCCTCTTTGCCAGCCCCCGCCCGCCCGCCCTTGGCTCTCACTGCCGGGTCTGGGGCTGGGACCCTCTGTGAGCTGGCCCAGAGGCCTATGGTCAGACACCCTCTTCTTTGCCTCTTGCTCCACCCCACAGCCCCTGCCCTCGAGCCCAGCCTCCTTTCCACCTGGCCCCACCCTGACCCGCAGGTGCCCCTCTGACTGAGAGGGTGTGTGTGAGGCATGGGGGCATCTCTGGAGCCCCTGATAACAGTGGTCACACTGGGGCCTGGGACTCTGGGCCAAGAAGTTTGGGGGCCCTGTGAGATGGCCCCACTCGGGCCACTGCCAAGCCACCTCAGGCCAGGGAACCCAGCAGTCCCTTGTCCATAGACACTCCAATGTGGAGGTGGGGTGCAGCTGAGGGGGCCGCAGGAGCTGTAACTCCCCCCCCTCCATTTTACAGAGGAGGAAGTGGAGGTCTGGAGGGAAGGGAGGTGCCCAGAGGTAGGCCAGGAGCTGGTAGAAGGACCAGGAACTGAGCTTTGAACTCCAGCCCCATCCGGAGGCAGGCCTGTGCCCAGGTGGTGCTGGGGCCCTGAGGGCCAGGGTCCACGCTCACCTCCTAGCTCTGTCCACATGTTCTGTTTCCTCCGGAATTGGGAGGCCTCAGCACTGGTGCCCATGGCAGAGGCCCACAGGCTTGGCAGGTTCCAGAGGGGCCAGAGCTGCCATTGCCCAGGTGGCCCTGGCACCTGCCCCATCTCCTGAGGACCCAGGAGGCCCTGGGGTCTGCTGCTTGCATGGCCCAGCCCCTCTCCTTTCCCAGGCATGGAGGTAGGACCTGGCAGCCTGGGGTGGGCAGCCTGCTCTGTGGTGGGCCTCACAGGCCCACTGTGTTTGGAGACAGAAGCCCCATTCATGGGGGCCACTGGGCCTGGGCCAGTGGAGAATAAATGCAGGCCTTACAGAAAAAGAACAGGAGCACTCGGGTCCAAGAAAAAATCAATCTCTCTTTCTCTTCAGGTGGGAGCAGGCAACTGTTGGGGTAAGTCGGGGGCAAGGCTTGGAGAGGTGTGTGTTTGAGGGGGTGCTTCCTGGGGGAGGGCCAAGGCGAGTAGGGGAGGCTGTGAGCGCTGCAGCCAGGGCCAAGAGCTCAGGCAGCAGAACTGTTGCGTGCCATCCCGCGTGTGTCCCTTCCTGCTGTGGCTGCCGCTCCCACCTCTCCCAGCAATTCTTCCCTCCACTGGCCCAGGCGGCCTGTGCGGCCCACGTGAGGTGGCCATGAAGACCATGCTGCTCCCCATCCTGGCTCTTTGGGTGGGCTGCTGCCCCAGAGGGGCCCTGGCCAAGCAGGGGCCGAGCCTGAGAGAGCCCATGGCTGCGCCAACACCCGGGAGCTTGCATACCCTGCGGCCACCACCGCCCAGCCAGCCTAGGACCCCCGACGGTGAGTAGGTGGCACCAGCGGGAAGAGGCTGACAGGAGGGGAGCACCCTGCCCTGCTACGGGACCCTGGGGCTGGGGCAGAGGGTGAGAAAGCCAGTCACCCTGGGGCTGCCCGCCTGGTGCCTACCTTGGGTGCTTGGGCAGGGGCTGGGAGGGGCCCAATGGGCCTCAGGGAACCCTCCCTGGAGGGTGAGGGGCGATTGCACACTCTGAAAGGTAGGGAGAGGGGAAGGGAGAGGCCCCCTAGCAGAGGCTGCTGCAGCTGGGGCTGGAAGAATGGATCCAGGTTTGCTGGTTTGGGAGTTGAGTCAGCTGTGCAGGCCTACTAGGGAGACTGGGAGAAGTGTGAGAGGCTGCAAGTGAGGGTCTGGGGCTTGGATGGGGTGGCACAAAGGGCCCGAGGAGACCAGCTGTGGTGTGGCCTTCGTCTCATACGCCAGTGGTTGGCACCGTGCTTGGTGTCCTCACCCCAGGCCTGGGAGTGGAGCAGGAGGGACCAGTGGGTGGGCCCAGGCACCCGCTGCCTGCAGACAGCAAGACCTGCAGGGGAGGCCCATGGTCAGCGCTGGTTAATGAGGGGCCGCCACATGGTGGAGGGGAGGCCTAGGGGCTATTGGCCCTCCTTTGCCATGGCTGACAGCCCCCATGGCTGATCTACAACTCGAGGGGAAGGAGATGCTGCCTCTCAGCCATGCAGGGGTCCCAGCCACCCCAGCCCACACCAGCTGTAGCCCACCTCTTTCTGTAGGTCAGGTGCGACCAATTCCCAGGAACGGCGACCCGGACAGGCCTGAGGACGGAGCCCACGGAGACCCTGCCCAGCCCCCAGCCCCTGGCTGGAAGGCCCCTGCCAGACCAGGGCTGGCCCAGAGGAAGGAGCTGCCCCCAGCAGCCTGGGAGCAGGAACAGGGTCATAACAAGGAGCCCAGCACCGAGTGGGCCCAGCCCCAGGCCACAGCGGCAGCAGGGGCTGAGGCAGCAAAGCCCCAGGCCGCCAAACTCAGGCCCTTGCAGGCCAGCAGGGCCCCCCGAGCCCAAGATGGGGCAGTGGCTGGTGAGAAGGGCCAGGGCAGGAAGGCGAGAGTCCGCGAAGCCAGGAGCAGAGGCCTGAAGCTCGGGAGGCCCCCCAAAGGTGAGGACCAGCCGGGATAGGCGGGCCCCAGATGGGGCCTGCGGCAGGGGAACGGGGCCGTGTGTGAGTCCAAAGTGGCCAAGGTTTGGCCAATCTCACGCTAATCTCACCAGTGTCACCAGCCACTCAGACCCCGCCCCGCTCTCAGTCTGCCCAAGCTGAACACCCTCATGTGTGGGGCAGGAGGGGAGCTCTCCATGGCAGGTCCCCTTCCCCAGCCTCAGGGCCCCCATGTGGGCCTCTCTGCCCTTGGTGCCAAGGAAAGAGGGCCCAGTGGCCTGTTGTTCCAGCCTGGCTAGCTGGGTGGCTGGCAGATGCAGGGGGCCCCTGTTTCTATGTGACCAGGCTGGGGCCATGTCTGCCATCCTCCAGGGTCCTCCCACCAACCTGGCCGAGGGGGCTGGCGTCAAAAGAAAGACCGCAGCCAAGGCCATGGTGGCAGCAGCATCCTGAGGACCACAGGCCATGGGCAGAAAAGGCCCGGAAGCAGTCAAGGCCCCGGGCACAGGCTTGCAGACCTGGGCACTGCTGAGCAAGCTGTGCCCTCCCTGCCGGCCTCCTGCCTCCTGGCCCGGGCGGCCATTGCCTGTGGCAACGTCAAGATGAAGCATGTCCCTGCCCTGACCGACCCTGGCCTGACCACACTCTACCTGGCAGGTGGGTGGCCCATCTCCTCTACCTGCCCCCCGCAGCAGGGGTGAGAAGGCCCCATGCCCGGGCTTCCCCTCGAGTGGGGCTTCGGCCACTGTGGCTGCCGCCCTGCTGTGCCCTGGGGATGGCCCACCTCGCTGTGGGTCCTGGTTGGCAGTGAGAAGATGCCCTTCAAGGAGCATATCACTGCTGCCTCTGGCCTCAGGGAGGTACAGTGTGGCAGAGGGGAGGGGGAGAAAGGGACCTGGAATATGGCCGCCCCATGTGTACACAGAGAACGAAATTGCCAAGATCCCAGCCCACACGTTCCTGGGGCTGCCCAACCTGGAATGGCTTGACCTGAGCAAGAACAAGCTGGATGCCCAAGGCCTGCACCCTCATGCCTTCAAGGTGCGCAGCGGCCCCTCCACCCGCTCTCCCTGGGGACCTGGGCTGGGGAGGAGGACTGGCAGGTCTGACATGGCTCCAGGTGTCCATTGTCCTTGCCCCGCCCTGCCTGGGGGATAAGGCCTGGAGGAAGCACTGCACAGAGCACCCAGCATGGTGGGCTTCGGTGATTTAGGGTGACACGGTCCATAGCTGGGAGTATGGAGAGTGGCAGAGATCCCTGGGCCCCAAGAGGGAGCAGGACTCTTGGGAGAAACTAAAGGGGGTTCCAGAAATCCCCAGACAAGCCTGGTCCAATTGGGAACTAGGAAGCCATGATGCAACCAAATAGGGGTGCCCCCTGGGCGGGCTGAGCCCAAAGGCATGCCAAGAAGGCCTGTTCCCAGCTAGCAGCACCCCAGCCTCCTCTTCTCCCCACCTCCCCCAGAATCTGACCCGGCTGAAACGGCTGAACCTGGATGGGAACTCACTGTCCACAGTGCCAGCCTTGCCCACCTCCCTGCAAGAGCTCAAACTCAACGACAACCTCCTGCAGGGCCTGCAGCACAGCAGCTTCCAGGGTGTGGGTGGGGGCTGGGGGCTGGGCCTGGGCAGCCAGGGAGGCTGTGGAAAGGTGCAGGCAAGGAGAGGGTCTGCCCAGGACAGCCTGGCTGGAGGGCAGAGACAGGAGCACCAGCCTGGGAAAATGGCCCTGGCCTCTAGGGGCAGGGGGTCTCTGGAACCACAGCGGCAGCTCCCAGGGGGCCTTCAGAGCTCTGTAGTCAGCTGACACACCCCTCTGCCCGCCCTGCAGGGCTCAGCCAGCTGCTGACACTGGAGGTGGAAGGGAACCAGCTGCATGACGGGAATATCTCCCCCCTGGCCTTCCAGCCCCTACGCAGCCTGGTCTACCTGAGGCTGGACCGGAACCAGCTGCGGACCATTCCGCCTGGCCTGCCAGCCTCCCTGCAGGTGAGCTGGGAGCCCTGAGCCCGGGGAGGCAATGTTGTGGTCAAAAGACCAGAGCATCTGCCGCCGGCAAGTAGAGCTGCCCATGGGGGGAATTTTGACGATAAACCCACAAGGCCTCAGTGCCAAAGGGCCTCCCCTCCACCTGAGCAGCCTTCCAGAAGCCCAGAGTTGGGCTTTGAAGACCCTCATGGACCTGCTGGTGTCCCTGAGCAAGGCCCATGCCCCTTCTGGGCCACACAGTCCACTTATGCTTGGCAGTACTCTCTGGGACTGTGTCTTGTGGGCTTCTGAGGAGCCATGGCACTGCTGGCAGATGTCACCGGGATCGTTTGCACAGATGGCCAGGCCCCAAGAGGAACAGAGAAGGTGGCACCTGAGTCCCATGGACGGGGCCAGGTGGAAGGGAGTAGCAGGTGGGCCCCTCACCCCAAGCCCTGGCCCTAGGAGCTGCACCTGAGCACCAACGCCATTGAGGAAGTTTCGGAGGGTGCCCTGAACCGCAGCCGCAACCTCAGAGTGCTGGTGCTCAGCAACAACCAGCTCCAGGAGGACCGGCTTGCACCCCGTGCTTGGATCGATCTCCCGTGAGTGCCACTGCCTGCTCTAGCACCACCTGAGCTTCCCTGTGATGGGCACATGGAGGCCAGAGAAAGAAGATGTGCCCAAAGGAAGCCAGAGAGTGAGGCATGGGTCGGGGCGGGGGGGGGGGGGGGGCTGGAGAGGGCCAGGGTGGCCCTGTTGCTTGGGCCTGGGTCACCTGTGCTCCTCCAAGATCCCCCTCTGTCCCTCCCACCTGGCAGAATCCTGAAAGCCACAGAAACCCCCTCCCCTGCCCAGGCCTGGATTTGCCCTGCCAGCCCCCAGGAAGCTCACCTGGGAGGTGCTGTGGGCCTGGACAGAGGGGCAGTGCAGGTGGTGAGAGCTGACCTGGTGCTAAGTCTAGCTAGGAAGCGACAGGGGCATGAAAGGGGCAAGGAAGAGATGGCAAGGCACGAGAAAGAGAGGTGTCTAAGTATCCTGGAGTGGCTATGACAAAGTACCATAAACTGGGCAGCTTAAAACAACAGAGATTTCTCCTTTCGCAGTGCTGGGACCAGAAGTCCGAAACCACGGGTCGGCAGAGCGGTGCTCCCTCTGCAGGCTCTAGGGGAGGACTCTTCCTGCCTCTTCCAGCTTCTGGGGTCCCCAGGTGTTCCTTGGCTTGTGGCCACCTCACTCCAGTCCCTGCCTCTGTCTCCACATGGCCTTCTCCTCCGCATCTGTGTCTCCTCTTCTGTCTCTTATAAGGACACTTGTCGTTGGATTTAGGGCCCACCCTACTCCAGGATGATCTCATCTCAAGATCCTCATTTAATTATATCTTCAAAGACCCTTTTTCCAAATAAGGTCACATTCACAGGTTCTGGGTAGATGTATCTTTTGAGGGCCACTATTCACCCCACCGCAAGAAGGGTCCAGGCTGAGTCCCTGTGATCTCGTTTGGACAGCTGAGTGGACACTGGCAGGAGGGGTCCAGGAGGAGACCTGGCCCTTATAGGCAATGTCTAAGGAGTCAGGATGTGGTTTCTGGAGTAGGGGGAGAGCTGGAGAGGTACAATCCATGGGGTCTGACAACCACCAAGGAGCGGGGTGGGGGGGGGTCAACAGACAGTCCTACCCGCCATTCCAGGGACTGGAGCCTCCCGCCCTGCATCTTCATGTTCCAGGAAAAAGTTACCAGGACGTTTGGGTTTAATTATTCCTTTTTCCTCTCCCCCTCTTGCCAAGGGGGCAAAAGAAAGCAGACAGCAGCCCAGGGAGGGGCCGTCCTGCCGCCGTTCCACTCCCGCCGCGGGGCCTGGGCAGGGGGCTGGCGGCCAGTCAAGCCTGGGCCGGCGCCGCCCAGCTTTTCTCTGGCTGGTCGGAGGGGAGGGGGCAGCCGGCTCAACAGGCTCAGGAGGCACCGGAGCCCCCACCCTGTTGCCTGAGGGCGTCATGGGCCCCAAGGCCAAAGGACTGACCCCACCGCAGGGGCTGGGGGATGTCACTGAGAGAGGCCACTTTCCCTGCTCTGACCCATTCTAGGAGCTTCACCACCCTCTGCCCCTGCCTTTCCCTACCAGCCCTTGTCCTCACCCACCGTGGTGTGACCTGGGCTCACGGTGGCCTGAGCTTCACTGCCTGCCTCCCAGATCCCTCGGGGTCGCCTGGCCTTGACCCTCTGGGAGCCTTATTTTTCTTTCCCTTCCCGTCTGTCTTCTGCTTATTAGCCTGGGTGAGGCAGGAAGAGGACAAGAGGAGAGGGCCGTGAGGCCAAGGAAGGGCAGAGCAGGAACAGGCCTAAGTGGGGAAGATGGGGTGACAGCTCACCCGCCCCCGCCTCTTTCCCCAGATCGCAGGTACCTCCATTTGTATTTCCCTTGTCAGGTGGAAATCTTAGGAGCCCCGGAGGGTGGGAAAGAATTGGGCCAGCATCGCCAACCCTGCAGTGAGCGAGGAAGGGCCCCATCCAGATCCCCTCTTCCCGGCTTCAGGGACAGAGGAGGACACAGAAGCCAGACAGGGCCTGGCCTGACTCATGGTGAGGCTGCCGCAGGCCTCCTGGCCCTTCCCAGCTGTTGGAAGCTCTGATTTTGGCTTCTGTCTGGGGGCAAATCCCCACTCTCCTCTTGAGTGTGAACCAGGGACCCTGAATTGGGCTCCAGCTGTTGCTGTGGTTCTGGCCAGGTGCCACCAGCTGACCCCAAACCGACCCGTGTGTCCCACCCTACAGGAAGCTGGAGACCCTTGACCTGTCCCACAACCGGCTGGTGCACGTGCCTTCCTTCCTGCCGCGGGGCCTCCGGCACCTGACGTTGCACCACAACCGCATCGAGCGCATCCCTGGCTACGTGTTCGCTCACATGAAGCCAGGCCTGGAGTTCCTGCACCTGTCCCACAACAGCCTGGGCGCCGATGGCATCCACAGCGTGTCATTCCTGGGCCTGCACGCCTCCCTGGCTGAGCTGCTGCTGGACCACAACCAGCTGCAGGCCATCCCGCGGGGCCTTCTGGGCCTCAGGCGACTGCAGGTGCTGCGCCTGAGCCACAACAAGATCAGGTGGGGCCACCTGCCGGTGCCTGCCCTGCTGTCCCACCCCTCCCCACTGCCAGCTGGGGGAGGAAGGGGAAGCTGAGGCCAGGAGGCCCTGCCTGCTAGGTGGGCTAGGGAGGGATGGTCTATGGGCTCCTCACCTGGGGGCCTCAGAGGCTGAGGGTGGGATTGTGGAGAGGGGTGGAATCCTTCGCCGCTCCCATCCATCCGTCTTGGTTACCATGATGGGAGGCTGTGCCCAGAGGCTACAGCCAAGGTGGAGGGCTGCAGACAGCAGAATTCCGGCAACAAGGGCTAAGCCCTGAGTGGAGAGGTAGCAGGTGGTGTCAGTACCTGCCTGACCCTCCACCCTGGGTCTGGTCTCTGTGCCTCAGTCTCACCACCCCCTGACCGTGGGGCCCTCTCTTTCTCTCCTCTTGCCTGATGCCTGTCTCCCCTTTCTGGGATCTTCTCTTTTCTGCTCGGCCCCGCCATCCCCCCTTCACAGATACGTGCCCCTGAATTCCATCTGTGACACACGCGTGGCCCAGGACTCCAACCTCATCTCCACGCACCTGGAGAACAACCTCATCGACCGGCGCCGAATCCCACCCACTGCCTTCTCCTGCATCCGAGCCTACCACAGTGTGGTCCTCCAGCCCCAGCAGGGGGAGGGGGAGGGCTCCTAACCCCACCCTGCCAACCTTCCCCGCCCCCTGCTCCTTCGGGACTGGTGGTGGTGAGGGCTCAGGCCCAGCTCTACTTGATCTTTGCACCACTGGGAGAAAGATCTAGAAGACCCTGATGCTTCAGATGCGCCCACTTCCCATTGACTCCTGAGGCCCCTTCACTTAGGAAATGGCCCAGCAGGGTGCGGTGCTGGTTTGGACTTGAACATAATAAATGCATCTCGTTCATGCCCGCACAGCTCCACCAGCCTCCCTCCCTCCTTCCCGGATCTAAGCCACATGAGCACGCTGGTTCTGCATTGGGCATGGAGCCCCGGGCCCGTATCTTGGACACTGCTTTGTCAGCAGAGGGTTAAGAGGGCCTCGTTCCAAAAGCTTCTCTGAGAACCTCCCCACCTGCCCTGGCCAGGGTCCTGCAGTCCCCTGCGGCTCGGCCGCAAGCCGTCTCGGGGTCAGGCTCACCTCCTTTACTAAGGACAGCATCAGTACCTCTCATCCAGGAAGCGTCCCTGGCCAGGCATCATGGATACACAGAGGTGAGCTCGGCTGGCAGAGCAGGCTGACATGGAGGCACCTGCCCTTGTCCTGGAGCCACCTACACCCACGCCTGCACCGAGGCCAGAAGCACCTTTTCTCTCCCGCTCCCCCAATTCCAGGACCGGGGCCCTCATCTGGTTCTCCCCTCCCTGATGCCCAGTGCACACTCATCCCCAGTTCACTCAACCCCATCCTGTGGGTCCCTAGGGCCCTACCCACAGCCTGTGGGGGCAGGCACAGGCGTCCAAGGATGTGGGTCCCTGATGTGCCCTCTTGCAACCTGGTGTCAGGGGAGAGTGGGGAGCACCATAGCACCATCGTCTCAACCACTCTTGGGGAGTGAGCGTTTGGTCCCTGGGAGGCCAGGCCCAGCCCTGGAGGCCCCGCAGCGACTGCTGCCTCACCCGAGTTGCAGGGAGGCAGATGCAGACACCAGTGAGTTGTGAGGGCTCAGCCCTGCTGAGCCTGAGGATGGGACCAGCCAGCTGTGCTGGGTGGGGACACAGGGTCTGAGGAGCCCCCTGAGACCACTGAAGCAGTTGCCCTGCCTGTGTGAGGGAGCCACTGGGAACAGGGTGGAGTCATTAGGTCAGCTTCAACAGCCCAAGATGCCACCCTGCTCGGTACTAGCAAGGGTGAGGGACAGCGGGCCACAACCGGCAGGGAGCACGATGGACCCAGCCCTGCCCCGGGGGTGTGGGGGGCTTATGGTGGTTTGGGGGCTGGGGAGACAGGCAAGCGACAGGCATCAAGGGTGTGGCGGGAGTAGGACTGGCCCCAGTCTTCAGTGCCGCTGGATGAGGAAGGGTAGCAACTGCCCCCTGCGGAGACCCTGCCCTCCCACCACCTCTGGCTGGGGTCTGGCCCTGGGAACTTTGAGTTTTGCATTGGTCCCAATCTGTAGCCATCCCTCCCCCCCCCGCCCCAAGTTCGTAGCAGAGCGAGGGCCAGGCCCTGGCGGGGGCGGGGAGAGGCCTGGGAAGCTGGCTGAGTGTTTGCTTTGGACTCATCCCTGCATTCCTTCTCCTCCCGGGCCTGGGCCCACAGATAGGGCACTTCCTGTTTGGGCTGGGTTGGGGTCAGCAGCCCTTGAGACACTGGCCACTGCTTCCCCAGCTCTCACGACCCCTCCTCCCCGGCCAGCCACCCTGGCCCAGCCCCTCCTGCTCTGGTCAGCCCCTGGCTCCCTCCATCCCCACAGTCACAGAGGTCAGGACCTGGAAGGCACAGAAAGTTTGGGCTGGGTGACCACCCCCCTCCCCCAACATCCATCCCCCCCCCGCCCCGCCTCCACGTTCTTACCTCTACTGAGCACATAAGGCCAGAGGGCCTGGGAGGAGAAGGGCCACACTCAAGGGCCAGCGGCTTGTCAGGGCAACCTGGCCATGGGGTGGAGTGGGGGGCAGGGGATGCAGGAGGGAGAGGAGGGTGCAGGGGGGTGGAGGAGGCAGGCAGCCCACAGATGATTGCCCAGCTTAATTCCACCTCTCAGACAGGAAGCCTCTTGGCCCTTGGGGCTGCTACCAGGTAGGCCGAACCCAGGCACAGGGGCCAATCCCTCGGTGACATTCCTGAGCAGAGGGGGCTTGACTGCAGCCAGGGTGCTCTCTTCAGCCCAGGCCATTCCCCGAAGGGCCTGGAGCTCAGGGCTGGGGTGCCAGCAGCTGGAGGCCCAGGGCTTCAGGACGAGTGGGAAGGTGGCTGTGGCAGTATGGCATGCCCCCAGTGGGAGGGGCTCTCAGAGCACAGCCAGGGAAGGCCTCAGACAGAGCCCCAGTCAGGGGAGCGAGTGTGGCGCAGCCGACACCTGGTGGCAGGACCCAGCCTGCCTGTCACCGTGCGCCCGCCTCTTCCTCACCCATGCCCCCACCCCCTCTCCCCTGCTCTCTCATGCCTGCTCGCCAAGCTCCTCTTGGGGGCAAATGCTGGCTCTAGCAGAGGGTACAGCAGTGGGCACAGCCTAGTTGGTAACCCCGAAGTACTGGGCATCTGGGGGGACACTGTAATGATCATTGTAATGGTGGTGACAATAGGGTAGGAGTGACTTGGGTCAGGTGGCAAGAAGGGAGGCATTCATCAATCCCCAGATTGAGACACGGGTACTGAGGTGATGGGGGTGGGACTGAAGGTAAAGATAGTGGGAATAGCAGGGACAGGAGGGGCATACATAGGCTAACAAGCCTGAGAAGTAGAGAGTGGAGACGGGCAGCAGGGTGCCCCCTCCCAGCCACAGTCCCAGAGTCCTGTGCCTTAGCCTCCAAATTCTCCTCCGAGCTGCCTGCTTCTCTCCATCAGCAGCACGCCAGCCAGAGGGACAGCCCTCCTGCTCCTTCACCAGGCTCTGGCCTAGCCTTCTGCACAGCTAGTCCCCAGCCTTCCCCCTGCCTCATGCCCCGCGCTGAGGCAAGCTTGGTTCAAGTCCCCTCATCCAGGAGAAACAGGCCCAGGAAGGGGCACAGAGAGCCGAGGAAGGCAAAGATTGTGTCCAGTGTGGTGTGCCCATGCCTATGCCTCTCCCAGGCCCTGCGCCTGTAGCAGCTGCCACCATGGCGGCCATGTGGCGCCAATCCGGTGACACTGGCTGCCCAGCCCCCTCTCCTGCACCTGCCCTCAGCCACTGCAGGTAGGAGGCAGCTCTGGGCCCTGCTCCTGGTGGCTGGCCTCCCTCAGGGAAGACCATGGGGGGCCCTGGAGTGACTCGTGGCCTCCCTATATCTTACTCACTTCCCAGGCAGGCCACAGATGCCTCCCTGTGGCGCAGCCCCGTCCACCTGCCCTCATCTGGCCACACCCCAGACCGTGCCTGTCTAAAGATAGTTAGAGCCCCCTCTGGGCCCTGAAATTACAGCCCTGGCAGCCTGGGGCAGAGAGCTGCTGTGTGATTATGTTCTCAGGGGAAGGTCAAAAAAAGCTCTGGCATAGAGAGTGCCAGCTTTCACCAGCCACGCCTCGGCCATAAGCATAGAGAAGCTTCGAGAGAGCGGAGGCTCGGCCTACTCCGCAGCAGCTCAACTCCCTCTTGGGCCTGTTAGCATGAACCTCATCCGGAATGGTCCCGGGCCCCGTGCACCCAGAGGGTCCCTGTGATCACAGGTTAGAAGTGCTGCCTTGGGGCTCCGTGATGTCATGACTCTGGCCCCGAGGGACCCTCGAGGTGGGCGAGGCCACCCCCGGTGACTGTGGATCTGACCCTCACAGTGCCCCTGCCCAGCTCCTGAGGGTGTGGAGATTGGGGGTAGATGAAGCCAGCAGGCTGTGGGTAAGGACCGAGCAAGGCCATGAACTTGGAGACACCGGCATGGGCTCAAGGGCTTCAGTGCCTGGAAGCCTTGAGGGCCCTCTCTGAAATCTCACATCTTGGCTGAGTTCTGGGCAAGGTTGCTTGCTCAAGAAGGGAACTTGATGTGTGTGTGTGTGATGTGTCCCTGACTTGGAATGCATCCTGGAGGCTGGGGCATAAGGGGGCTCCCGTGGGTAAGATCCTTTGCTCTGGGCTGGTTTTGCAAGAGCCCTGGGCCAGCGCTCTGGGGAGGGTATGAAAGGCAGCCCCAGGGCACCCCTGGAGAGCTGCCGCCTCCCAGAAGCCCTCCCTGCACCCCCATCTCTTGCCAGCACCTAGGCCTGAGCTATTTCCTTCCTCTGCTCATCACACTCAGGCACAATCGTGATTCCTCATGCACGTCCTTGCTTCTGGTCCAGCAGCACGTGCGCCCAGGGGCAGGGGGAGCAGTGGAAGTCAGGGCTGACTGACTCAGTGCCCAGAGAAGGAACAGAGAGGAAGACGGGAGACCCAAGAAAGGAGTGAGGATCTGGGAAGCACAGACAGGGGGAGCAATATGCAGAGGCAGAAGGGAGTGAGCAGGGGGCAAGCCGGATGCAGCAGGGCAGGGAGGCCAGGAAGGCCCTGGAAGGGGGCTGGCAGAGGGCCCCGAAGCTCAGGGTCAGGCTGCTCTTTCCAGGCCCCAGAGGCTCATGGGGCCAGCAGCTGGCTGGGCTGGAGCTCAAGGGGTGCTCTCTCAGCTGCTGCCAGCTCTGTAGGGGCCCCTTCTGGGTCCCTGGGAGCCCCGCCCACTGGGCCACCTCCCAGGTTCCCCAGCTCTGCCCTCCAGGGACCCACAGAAAAGGCAGAGTTTCATGCCCAAAGGGAACCAGCGGCTTGAGGCCTGCCCTCTGGGTACCCCGCTTCTCTCCTGGGCCTCCTCCTCCAGCTTTGAAGCCAGGGTACAAACAGCTGCACGCCAGCTGTGGGGGGACAGCTGCAGCTGACTCCAGGTCCTTCTCCACACACAGGCCTGCAGGATGGCAACAGGCTTAGACTGCGCTGCCCCGGCCATCCTCACGGCTGCTCTCCAGTCCTGCCTCTCCTCCCCTCTGCTCCCTTCCCTCCTCCACACAGGCCTTCTCCTCCAGAGGCCCTTGCCCCTTCTTCCTGTCTCCCAACTGCCCCCCAACGTCCCTCTACCTTCCAGCATTTGCCCTGCGCTCTGGGGCTCCAGGCTGGGCACTGGGGAGTGGGCTGCGGCAGCAGTAGCAACACAACAAGGGCTAGGTGGGGGCCAGCTGCTCCCAGCAGTGAGCCAGCAGTGTGGCCTGGGCGGGTGGGGAGGGCCAGGGGCAGGAAGCTTTCCCAGGAAGCCTTGGCCAGCCACCGGCTCCTTTCTTGGGTCGAGAGGGCTGAGTTCTTGGCTCCTTCTGCAGGAGAAGGGTCCTCTGCAGAGGGGCCTGCAGAGTGGCTCGGGGCTGAAGGGCCAGTGGATGGCAGCAGGATCACCCAGCACTGGCAGCCCTTTGGGAGAAGTTCCAGGCTGGGGATTTGGGAGCTTGTCAGGTGGTGTCCCAGAGGTGCAGGGCATGCTGGGAGAGGGCTCTCCTCCCCCGACTCCCGCCCCTGTGACTTGGCCAGCCTTGTCTGCCATCGTTCTTGCAGAGCTAAGACAGCTGTGCCTCGGCCTCCTCCAGACCCCCAGGGCCTCAGGAAATGCCTGCTCTTCCTTCCTGCCTTTCCCCTCACGCCTGCCCTCCCTGCCTCCTGCTGCCTCTTCCCAGCCCTGGGAGGCCAGAGGGCAGGAGGCCACGGGGTCCTGCTAGTCGGCAAGGACGTGCTGTCCTCAGGCCTGCAGAGAGCCGAGGCCTAGGGAGAGGGGGGGGGGGGGGGGGGGGGGGGGGGGGGGGGAGGGAAGCCTAGGACTGAGGTGCTGCCTGGCTGGTCTGGGAGTGGCCCCCAAATTAGAGGGCCAGGCCGAGTGACTCAGTTATGGCTTATTGCAGACTGCAAACCACAGACACAAGAGCCTTCCAGGCGCAAGAACCGTAGTTACGGAAATATTGCCCCAGATGCATCCCCCAACTTTGGGGAAGAGCTCCAAGGTGCACAAGTGCCCCGTGCAGAGTGCTGCCTCTTCACTATCCCCAAGCTCCCTCCAGGAACACCTGAGGGTGAGCACTGTGTTAGGGAGCAGGTCGGCCCACCTGCTCGCACACCCTCTGCACCTTGCTGTGTGCTTTTCTTTCCACTGCCAACGTCCCTCTTCCCTACTTGTCTGCTCCAAGTCACCTCCTCCAGGAAGCCTTCCTGAGCCTCTGGCACTGTGTGTGGCCCTGGGGATGCAAGAAACAAGAGTGTGCCAGTCTCCTCTCCCCAGAGCTCAGAGTCCAGCCCCAGAGGCCCCAGAGGGGGCTTCCCCCAGCAAAGCCCTGACTGCTGGATTCAGGGCTCTTCTCACCCGCTCTGGGACTCCTGGAGGCCGAGGCCCTGAGTGACAGCTCCTGGGATCCCAGCCCCCAGAGCAGTGCAGGGCCCAGCAGAGAGCTGGCTGGGGGCACGAGGCCAAGTGGGGCCTTACTCAGTAAGTGACGGGGTAGGAGGGAAGGGAGCAGAGAGGAGGGGAGGCAGGGCTGGCGAGCAGCGCCACGGGGGGCCGCCCAGCACAGAGCAGTCTAAGCCCATTGCCATCCTGCAGGCCTGTGTGTGGAGAAGGACCTGGAGTCAGCTTCTTGGGCCATGGGCGTGTCTTACGTGGGTTGGGTTTTTTTCATTTTTTAAAGCAGCTTTATTGAGATATAATTCACATACCATGCAATTCACGCATTTAAAATGTGCAATTCAATGGTTTTTATTTAGTATATTCCCAGGGTGTGCGGCAGCACCATAGTCAAATTTAGAACATTTTCGTCACCTCAAAAAGAAAA